ATATGGCTAATTTGGATAAATTCATACAACCAGCGATTCCCAAGTTTGATGGCCATTATGATCATTGGTCATTATTGATGGAAAATTTCCTAAGAAGTAAGGAAATGTGGAACGTGGTGGAGGAAGGAATTGGTGGAGAAACTGAAAAGGTCATTGAAGAATCAAAGCTAAAGGATTTGAAGGTAAAAAATTACATGTTTCAAGCAATAGAAAGGGATATTTTGGAGACGATATTGGACAAGACAACTTAAAAAAAATAATATAGGACTCAATGCGGCAGAAATATAAAAGATCTATGAAAGTGAAACGGACTCAATTACAAGCACTAAAAAGGGAATATGAGTTTCTATCAATAAATGATGGCGAAAAGGTTGACGTCTATCTAGCCTGAACACTAACAGTCATCAACAAGACGAAATCAAATGGTGATGCATTGAGTCCAAGCAGTGTGATGGCCAAGATTCTACGATCCCTAACCCCAAGATTCTACGATCCCTAACCCCAAGATTCAACTATGTGGTGTGTTCCATTGAAGAGTCAAATAATCTTGATATTATGACTATTGATAAATTACATGATAGCCTTTTAGTCTATGAACAAAGAATGATTGGACAACAAGATGATGAGCAAGCTTTGAAGGCAACAACCAACTCACCATACCATGGTAGAGGTCAAGGACAAGGAGGCAGACGAAGTCGGGGACATGGCAGATCTTCATTCGATAAAAGTGTTGTCGAATGCTATAAATGCCACAAGTTAGGTCATTTTCAAAGAGAATGTCCAGATTGGGAGAAGGATGCGAACTATGTGGAGCATGACGATACAAAAGAGATGGTGAAGGTTCAAGGAGATTAAATAAATTCGAGGATAGAGTGCGTATGGTTCTTAGATTCAGGTTGCTCTAACCATATGATTGGTAATAAATAATGGTTCTCCTCGCTAGATAATACCTATCGTAATCATGTCAAGCTCGGTAATGATGTTCGTATGGTTGTCATAGGAAAGGGTCATATACAACTTGAAATAGAATGCATCATACATACTCTAGCTGATGTTTATTATGCACCCGACGTTACGAACAACTTGATTAGTATAGGTCAAGTACAAGGAAAGAGAGTAGTTGTAGTCATAAAAGAAGGATATTGCTCTCTTTATCATCCAAAGAAAGGGTTGATCATAAAGTCACAAATGACAACAAACATGATGTTTTTACTCAATGCTAGTCCAGGATGCAAAATGATGAATGAAGACAATGGTATATGTCACAAGACAGAAACAATCAACAATGCTCAGCTTTTGCATCAAAGGTTTGGCCACATCAGGACCAAAAACATAAAATAGTTGTAGTCATAAAGGAAGGATATTACTCTCTTTATCATCCGAAGAAAGGGTTGATCATAAAGTCACAAATGACAACAAACAATATGTTTTTACTCAAGGCCAGTCCAGGATACAAAGTGATGAATGAAGGCAATGATATATGTCACAAGGCATAAACAATCAACACTACTTAGCTTTGGCATCAAAGGTTTGGCCACATCAGCACCAAAAGCATAAAATAGTTGTAGTCATAAAGGAAGGGTATTGTTCTCTTTATCATCTAAAGAAAGAGTTATCATAAAGTCACAAATGATAACAAACATGATGTTTTTACTCAAGGCTAGTCCATGATGCAAAGTGATGAATGAAGGCAATGGTATATATCACAAGGCAGAAACAGTCAACACTGCTCAGCTTTGGCATCAAAGGTTTGGCCACATCAGCACCAAAAGTAAAAACTCGATAAGAGGGCTGCCAAGCATCAATGAAGAAGTCAACCCATGTGCGGATTGTTTAGTAGGGAAACAAACTCGAGAATCCTTTCCAAAAAAGAGTTCCTAGAGGGCCAGTCCCGTTTGCAGCTTGTGCATACAGACATTTGTGGACCTATCTCTCCTCAATCCAATGGTCAAAAGAGGTACATAATCAATTTCATAGATGATTTTTCCAGAAGATGTTGGAGCTATTTTTTTACTAGAAAAGACGCAAGCTTTGGATACATTCAAGAAATTTAAAATTCTTGTTGAAAAAAAGGTTGGAGCAGAGATTAAATGTTTAAGATCAGATAGGGGAGTAGAGTTTAACTCGAGTGAGTTTAAACTATTTTGTGAAACCAATGGCATACAACGACAACTCACATCGAGTTTCACTCCATATTAGAATGACGTAGCAAAAATGAAGAATCATACTATCTTAAATATGGTGAAAAGTATGCTAAATGCAGAAAATTTCCCGAAGAAATTTTGGGCAGAGGCAACCAACTGGTGTGTTCATATTCTTAATCGAAGTCCGACTGCTTCCTTCGTTGATTGTACGCCAGAAGAAAAATGGAGCAATAGAAAGCTATCCGTCAGTTACTTTAGAGTATTCGGATGCGTCGCTCACGTACACGTCCCCAAAGAGAAGAGAAAGAAATTAGACAGCAGAAGCATGAAGTGTGTTATGTTTGGTGTTATTGAGGAATCTAAGGCCTATCGAATATATGATCCAGCCAACAACAAGATCGTGCTTAGTAAAGATGTGGTATTTGAAGAAGAAGTGGCTTAGAAATGGAATCAAGACTCTGCAGTCATTCACACTGATCTTGATTAGGAAGATGATGATAAGAAAGATGGATATGATGACTTACACAATACTCTCAACAATCCAAATGGGTCTGACAAGTTAATTGAGCATTATGATAGTGGGCCCTCAAGCCAGAATCAAGAAATTCCACATTCAGATCCAAGTACTACTAATGAAAGAAGTAGATGGGAAACAAAGATGCCACAATAGATGAATAATTATGTTAGCGGTGAAGGCATATTGAGTGATGACGAACTGGAAGAGAATGTTGCCATGTTTTCTTTCTAACAAAACCATTAAATTACGAAAAAGTTGCTCAAGAAGAGTGTTGGAGGAATGCCATGAAAAAGAAGATTGACTCGATCGAGAGAAATAACACATGGGAACTGTGCGATTTATCCAAAAGAGTTACGAAAATCGGAGTAAAATGGGTATTCAAGACCAAACTTGACAAATATGGTAAAGTTGACAAGTACAAGGCACGATTAGTCGTAAAATGATATGTTCAAATGAATGAAATAAATTATTCAGAAGTCTTTGCTCTTTTAGCCAGATGGGACAAGATCATAACCGTACACGCTTTTGCTGCTCAACAAGGTATGAAAGTTCATCAATTAGATGTTAGAAGTGTCTTTCTATATAGAGAGTTAAAAGAAACAATCTTTGTGGAACAACCCCAAGGATATAGAGTGAATGGTAAGGAAAAAAAGGTTTATAAATTGAGAGAGGATTTCTAAAGGTTAAAGCAGACTCCGAGGGTCTGGTATAGACGTATTGAGAACTACTATGTTCAACAGAGTTTCGATAAATGCCTCTATGAACCAACACTTTTTGTGAAGTTGATGAAGGAAAAGGGCATTCTTATAGTTTCAGTCTATGTTGATGATTTGATTGTTACTGGCACTACACTGAGCTTGATAGAAGAGTTTAGAAACTCAATGAAGTCTGCGTTTGAAATGTCTAATATGGGGGAAATGTGTTACTTCCTTGGTGGGAATCTGCATATGTCAAAAGAAATATGCTCGGTGGCAGATTCAACATGGAAGATTGCAATAGTGTCAAGAATCCGATTGTTCCATGATGTAAGTTGATTAAAGATGATCATAGCGGTTTTGTTGATGCGACTCTGTACAAACAAATGGTGGGATGTGTTATGTATCTAGCTGCTACAAGACAAGAATTAATGTTTGTTGTTAGTTTGTTCAGTTGTTACATGGACAAACCGACAGAACAACAAATGACAGCCATGAAAGGGTTCTGAGATACATCCAAATAACATAAAATTTTGGAGTATTTTAAGAAATGAGGGAGTGATCAATTAATGACATTTTCTGATAGTGATTATGCAGGTGATCATGATAATTGAAGAAGCACTTCAGGCTATGTTTGTTTTTTTTGAGTGGAGGTGCTATTGCTTGGTCTTCCAAGCGACAACCAATTGTAACTCTCTTTACTACGGAAGCCGAGTTGGTAGCTGCTACAGCTTGTGCCTGTCAAGTAATATGGATTAGGAGAGTGTTGAAACATATTGGTTTGTCTCATGAATCAAGCACAATTATTAAGTGTGATAATGTGTCAACCATCAAGCTGTTAAGAAATTCAGTGATTTATAATCGTACCAAGCATATTGATGAATAATTTCCTTCGAGATTTGGCTAGTGAAAGTGTTATAGAATTGAAGTATTGCAACACCCAAGCTCAAATCGTTGATATAATGACAAAGCCTTTGAAGCTTGAACAATTTAAAAGGTTGCATGGTGAGCTATGAATGGGTGAAGTAAACTAAAGTTCAAATGCTTTAGTTTTGGAGAAGTAATGTTGGTTGAATAACTTCTTGATTTTTAGAAATATATTGAGTTTTTTAATTTAATCTTCCATAGTTACTGTTAATCTTCTATCTGTTTGCTTAATTTCGTATTTTACTACTCTATTTATGTAAGTCGGCACTTTTTCTAATGATTAATGTAATTTTCAATTCGTTTTTTTCTTGACTATTTTTGCATTTGTGTGAGTATTAATCATATATTGTCTATAAAAATTTTCATTTTTGTAAACCAATCTAAATTGTTTGAGATATTTGTAAGAGAACTATCATCTTCCAAAGCATTCTAAAAGTTTTAAATTTTAAACGTAGTGAAGTTCTCGTATTGCATCCTTAGTCAATTGTAAATTTTCAATATATATATATGTTTTGTTGTTAGAAAATGATTTGAAATGGAGAATTAATTTCAATTTTTATTTAAATAGTATTTTTAAATAATATTTTATAAAAAATAATATATTTATAAAAATTGTGATTTGAGTTTTATAATTTTGATTTTAAATGTTAAAAAATATGTTTGGTCCTAAACCAAACAAGGGTACAATATGGTAAATTCCACCAAGGCTTTAAGCCCTTAGGTCATCAAGGAGATACACGCGCACGCTGAAATCCTCTTCTCTTCAATGGATGTCGCGTGTATATATCTCTGTTGAGTCGACTCTCTGCTGCTCAGGAGCTATTTCCTTTCAAGTTCGTCCATGGAGGAAGACGATGAGTTCGGTGATCTTTACACGGACGTGCTGCGCCCCTTCGAGGCCTCGTTTAAGTCTCAGCTGGGAGGGACCAGCGGAGCACCATCTCAGTTGCCGAACCGCTCGTCGGTCGATCTGAATGTCAACAGCGACGATGAGGAGATTCTATACGGGGTTTCCGATTCCAAAACATCGTTTGGTAATTCGAATTTGAACTCCTCTATCGGTTTGAAATTGAGCGCCCCAAATCGAGAGAAAACCCTACCGGAGTCGGGAGGAGGGTTTGATTTAAATTTGGATTCGAATTTGGGGGGTTCTAGAATTTCAGGGGGTGGCAGTTCGGGCTTTGGAGGTGAGGGTTTGGAGAAGGGAAAGGGTGTGGAGTTGCCGGAGAAGGGTCCGGGGAGAGTGGATTTCATGGAGGAGGACGATCTTAACATCGTGGTGGAAGAGGGGGACAATAAAGATGATGATTTGGTTGAGAAAGACGCTGCTCTCATTAAGAAGAAAGAGAACATGTACAGTAGCGCAGCTGAACGAAGTGAAGGCACGGCTAATTTCTTGGACCAAAGTGCTGCAGGGGAGATAGGTACAGAGCCAGTGATTCCAGGTCTATCTGGGAGATTTGATAATCATGGCGGCGCCATCTCCTCGAATTTCGATGATGAGTTGGAGAGTGATGAGAGTGACGATGATTTGCAGATTGTGTTAAATGACAACCACAGGCTGATAGGGATGGAAAGGATGCAGGGAGTGGGTGACGACGAGGATGATGAGGATGGTGAACCTTTGGTGATTGTTGCTGATAATGGTGATGCAAGCCACCATCCCCTCCACCAGCAGATGATGGATGAGCAAGAATGGGGCGGTGAGGAAGGGGTGCCTGGAGCAGATGGGGAGAAGAAGGAGTTGGGGGATGCTGCGAGGGCGAGTGGTGGAGGAGGCGCTGCAGCACCGGCAGCAGTGCAGCCAAAAATTGGGTATAGCAACCACATGTACCATCACCCATACCATTCTCAGTTTAAGGTCAGCATCTTGTTTGGTGAAAACTTCAATTGTAAATTGGATTATAGCTGCAATTGTACTTATAATATAGTGAAATTTTGGGTGCAGATGAAATTAAAATTTGCCCCTATTGGTGTAATTGGGGTACTGGTTAAGTTGTGTGTAATAATTGATCGTTCATTTGTTAATGAAGTTACTTATTCCTCTTTATTCAACTTGTTTAAATTTTGAGGCTTGCAATGCTTGCTATGATTAGATTAAGCTGTAGCTTTGTGATGCTGTTTTTTGGAACTCTAATCGAGATTGCTTAAAATTTTGTTACTGAGAGACAATGATGCTATGGTCTTGAACCTACAAACTGAAAAATTATTTCTGAAAGTTTGTGGCCTGCAATACAACAGATTTTTCATGACCTTCTCTCAGGAGTATTTATCTTTATGCTTAGTGCACAATTTGAAGTCTAGTACAAGGCAAAAGATGAATGACCTTTGTATCCCATTTGGGTGTGTTGTTTGCAGCCTTAGAATAACACTAGATGTTTTGAATCTTGAATTTGTTTGTTTATATTAATTATCCAGTTATATGGTCTCAGTGCCGGGGCCATTATGAGGAAGCAAGTTATTATTTATATAAACGCTTGTAGGCAGCATTCATCTAGACTTCTGCAACTTCATTTACCATTGTTTACCTTTTGCATAAACAGTAGTTTGGTATTAAACTGTTTTCGAAAGATGGATGAACTTCACTTCTTAACTCAAGATTGTGTTTGAAAGTAGTTTATAGATTTTCTTGATTTAAGCTGTATAATAATTAAGCGTGAGCTAAACGAGTAAAGAAATTTGACTAATTATACATACACGCACGAACATGCACACATATTTGTTTAAGTAAAAGAGGAAGAGGAAATGCGCACATATATTACAAAACTTTTGCGTACAACTGTGAGCTTATCTCCATTTTGAAGAGGTATTCCTCCCGGCCATGATTGTCTGCAGAAGCAGATAGTTATTAAACAATTAATTTGTCTTTGTGTGCATGACTTGATTGGCTAACTTCTCTTCTCAATCCTTTTTCTGGTGAATGAAAAGATTTAAAATGTTTGATAAGCCCAGAGGGGAAACAATAGGGACAGAGATACAAATCTAACGCGAAACACTTTTAACTAATAGAGAAGAGACAAATGACAAGGAAGTAATAACACCCAATAGATAGTGAATCTTAGAGCCAAGCTATAAGATCCATGCTCAGTGATGCTTCACGTTTAGCCTTCTATCAATGCTGAAGAACTGTTTATATGAAATATGGTGTCCTGTGACAATTCAGTTTATTCAAGCCAATACACTTAACTTACTATAAATGCTTCATTATATGATTATTATTTGCCATGATTTGCTTTACGGTTATTTTTCTATTTCCTTAATGGTTAACTTCAATTTTTTTCCCTCTCTTTGTATTTTTTGGAAACTGCTTAGTATGTCAGACCTGGTGTGGCTCCACTACCAGGAGCAGTTCCCCCTGTAGCTCCTGGAGGTGTCCAAGGTCAAGCTCGTCCGCCCACTGCCATGGGTCCTGGAGGTGGACGTGGGAGAGGTGATTGGAGACCTGCTGGTATTAAAGGTCCTGTCCCCATGCAAAAAGGCTTTCATCCTGGTTATGGGATGCCTGCTTATGCTGCTGGACGTGGTTTTGGAAGTGGATTGGATTTTACTCTTCCATCACACAAGTAAGATTATCTAGTTCTTCTAACTGGAAAGTACTTTTTTATTTTTTATTTTTCTTTTTTGTTGAATACATGCTGTGTACTGGATGGATTGGGCCATTAATAGAAGCTTCATCTTTTCATTAATGCAAAAATTCTAATGATCTATTTTACCATGTTATTACGACTGCTCAAAGTTTCCTTTGAAGATTGCCTTTTGCATGGCTGAAATAAAATTTCTTTTTAATGTTATTGTACTTTAACTTGCATGTTCTGCACATGTAATATGTTTCACAATATTGTTGTGAAGATACTTTTGGTTGGTGAAGCGAGTTCTTGTCTTTGTAGTAATTCTTGGATAATACAGACTTATGTCACTTGCAAGACTGATAGCATCTTTCTTTCTTTCTTTTTTTTTTTTTTTGATAGGATGATAGAATTTTTCTTTCTTATATGGTAATGTGGAACTATAAGCAAAATCACCTTATTGAGGTAATATATCTATGTCTAGATGTGTGCCTATATATATGTTAACCAAAGTAAGATGCCATTATTTTGTTATAACTGTTCTTTAGTTATTGGATTTCACTTTGTTAGTTCTTTTGATGTGAAACATAGTCCCTCTGATATCTACAGCAGTGCATACATCTTCATTATTAGATATATATACCGACGTGTTAAGACTGGTTTTATTTTTATTTTATCAGGACCATATTTGAAGTTGATATTGATGGTTTTGAAGAAAAGCCTTGGAAGCTTCCTGGTATAGATGTATCAGATTTTTTCAACTTTGGTTTGAATGAGGAAAGTTGGAAGGATTACTGCAGGCAACTAGTATGTTTTATTTTCAGACTAGCAACTTCGTTGTATAATTGTCCATGGTTTCACTGTTATATGTTTTCTGTTGGAATTGAAGTGGAATCTAAATAAATTCAATTTGAACTCTGTAGGAACAACTACGTCTTGAGACAACTATGCAAAGCAAAATTCGTGTTTATGAAAGTGGGAGGGCAGAACAGGTATGGTTGTTTGGCTACAGTTTAATCATTAATGCTTAAAGGCTAGGACTCTCATTTTGCTTGGAGAATAGTGTGTCCTAAATCCCTTTTCTTCTCTTTTGCTGTTAAATTTAGGATTATGATCCAGATCTTCCACCAGAGCTTGCAGCAGCAGTTGGTGGCCAAGATATTTCACCAGAAAATCCAAATCCTGGAAAGATGGATGTTGGTGCAACTGACTTAGCAAGATCAAATACACGTGCACGACCACCAGTTGTATGTATATTATGTTGGCCAATGCAGCTTGTCTACCGAAGGATTAGTAGCTTTTGGATTTTAACTTCCTCTGCATGGTTTACTGACTTCTGCATTTTGGGTGCTTGGTTGGCTAAGGGTCATTTAAATTTTTCCAAAAAAATTAGCACGATGAAAATTTAGTTCTGTTAAAGACACTTGCGCTCTTGTTCATTCAATTATCGATTCACTGCACTTGGGAATGAATTACTCTTTTATTTTCTATCTCCTATCAAGACTAGTCATGACAGTTTCTTCCGTATGCACAAATTTAACTGACGCACATCCTCCCTAACTGTTATCCCTTCAAGAAGCTGATCTCGAACTGGACACTTTTCTTTTCTCAACAGCACATATTACCCTGTCTATGGATAAGCAAAAGCAAGCATTTTTGTTTATTAAGTCAAGCTTTCCAAAGTTAAGATTATATGGCACTGAGTGTGTAGTTGAGCACCATGTTACTATGGTGTTGGGATTACTAATCTAATTTTTTGGAAGTATCAATGGAGGGAGTTAACTGGTTAATCTCATTGGCTTTTGTTGGCTTGATATCAGCTCATTGGCAGACCAATTCCTGTTGAAGCTGGTTCTGGTGATCGTCTTCCATCAATTGACACCAGGCGCCCACGAATGCATGACACAGATGCCATCATTGAGGTAAACAGCAGCCATTTCCTCTGCATGAACATAGATAATTTATCACAGTGATATGCACCACTTGTTGTATCTCAATAAAAAGCAATGTTGCTTTTGGCAAACAGATTGTGCCCCAGGTTTCACCAGATGATCCTGATGTGGTGGCAGAACCTGAAAATGAACCAGATGGTGAAGATCTTGCAGGTGTCAATGCAGTTGATCCTCAGCCGGACAATGCAGAGAAAATTGACCACTTTTCTGATGCTTATGATGGTCCAAAGAGAGAACCTGTTGCAAGAAGACCATTGATTAAGAGTGCTGAAAGTGGTCATGAAGGTGGACAAGGGGAGGATTCAGAAGGGCAATACCAAAATGACAGGGAGATGGATGTACCTCATGAGGACAGGTATCGTCTTCATATATTAGATTCACATAATGTGGTCGATATTGATCTTTTATGTCTGTTACTGCTGCACATGTGCAAGTTTCCCTTGATTATGACAGGGAGCTTTTGTTGTTGCCCTGATGTCGATTTTTTTTTTTTTTTTTAAGGTATCTTTAGCGCCAATCACATAAAAACCTTGTACTAGTATAAAGGAGATTAGGAAAGTGGGCAGATTTATATGCACAAAAATGGAGTTGTGAGACAATATTTATATCTATCACTGACATTGGTCTACCCACGCTCAATTGAACTGTTGCAGGAATAGAAATTCACCATAATATGGAAGATTCAAATCTCTGTGTTCTATTATTGATTACTTTATTTGGACTAGTTTTCTGTATTGATTCGGATTTTACTTGAAGTTGAGTGGTTCACTAAAAGAACTTAAAGAGTTGATGTTCCTGAATGTGTTACTTTGGTTCCTATGGTCCCAACTTATGCAGATTCCTTCCCTTCTCCTTTCTATCTGCTAAAACCTTCTTGTTCATGGTCATATTTGTTTATGGAATGCTACGACACATGGTGTACTATGGAACAATCAGTGCACCATTCTAATTCTATGGTATTTGATTGAACTATGTTGGGCATCTGATAGGCTTGGGCAAACTTGACCTTTTCTAGGGTTTTGCTATTCTAAGTAAGATTATTTCTAGGAACTGTTCTTTTATATTCTCAGTCCTATGTCCAGTATCGAGTAGCTTCTATTTGGATGCATGCCATTTGTATTTTCATATAGGAGTATGAATTGAAATTTGTTTGTTGTCATTTATCATGTAAAATATGTTCTTATTTCTATTTCTCTAAGGAGATATTTAATAGGGTGGATATGTAGTATCTAATATATAATATTGCATTGACTTTGTGCCTTGCATTGTTGAGACCATGTTGTCCTTGGTTGAACTTCCTTTTCCATTCTGCATATATGCAACTTTTTCATTATTCATTCGACAGGAAATTTAGCAGTTTATCAAGTCTCATGTATGAACATAATTACTTCCGTGAAATCTGATATGTTTTAACACGTGTCTTGTTAACATAGGTCTTTCAAAGGAAGAGAATCCCCAAACTCACCCAATATGACTAACAGAGACAGTAATGCAGAAAAACAGACAGTGGATGAAAGAAACGAATCATTTAATAGCGAGGATGTTAAGCAAAACCCACCTTTGTCACCTTCTCATGCTGTTGGATCAGATGAAGAGCAAGCTATAGCATTAGGGGATGATGAAGAATCTGTGATGGACGATAAAGGTTCTGATATGGAGAAAGATGAAATGGTGTTGGATGCACAAACTAGTGAGGCCGTTGAAGACGAGAAATTAACACATTCAGAAAACAAAGGAAAGATAAGTTCGCTTGTAGAACTGTCTCAAGAAAATGATGATGGTGAAGAAGCTTTGAGGAGTAGTGAGAACAGCAAAGAAAGATCAGAAAGCAGTAAGGATCACCGGAAGTTCCATGAACCTTTCGAGGATGAAGTTCTTCAGGAAAGGCACCCTCCTCATGCTGGTAACAAGAGACCAGTAGGTGAGGAGGATAATGTTCGTAGGAAAGGCCGCCAGGAGAGAGATGAAACTGGAAGACACAACATGGATGTAAAGGGAAGAGAAGAGTCTCGCTTACATAGAGGTGGGGATCCTAACTCATTACACCGACAAATGAAAAGTGACAGTGCAGACCGAAGGAGGGATAGTGATATATCTGAAGGAAGCTGGCGTAGGAGAGAGGAGGATCCTTATGGGAAAAGGACTAGAGTTGATGATACTAGAAGTAGAAGGGATCATGGTGGTGAAATTGTTTCCAAAATCCAGGGAGGTGACATTGGCTCCAAAAACCGGGTTAAAGTTAGAGAAAGCGAGAGGAGTGAGAAAGATGATCGCCATCACCTAAGGAATGAACTTGATAATTCCAGCTGGAGGGGGGCAAACCTTGATCAAGATTTGGCATCTAGGCAGAGAGACAGGGATGATAATCTAAGAACTCGGGAGGAAAAGGTGGGAAATGTTCACCACAGAAGAAGAAAAGAACCAGCAAGTCGGGAACCTGTTGAAAAGGAAGAGGGTGCTCATTATTATAGAGAAGGTAGCGGCCATAGGAAGAGAGAAAGAGATGATACCTCTGATCGGCGGAAAAGAGATGAATATGCCAAATCAAAAGATGATGATGTGCATCGTGTTAGGCAAAAACGAGAAGGGTCAATGCCGAAGGAGAGGGGTGAGAGGCACAGAGATCGTGATGAATGGAGCAAGCCTAAACAATCACATGAAGAAATTCATTCAAGGAGGGAAAGAGAAGAAACACGGTCTACTATGAAAAGTATACGGACTGCTGAAGATATTACGCGAATGACTCATTCACGAGGAAAAGATGATTATAAAGTATCTGGAAGAGAGCACCATTCGAAGGATGTGGGTCGAAATGGTGATCTACTTAAGAGAAGAGATCGTGTTGAAAATGATAAATCATCCCAGCATAGGGGCCGTGAAGATGTTTATGCACGTGGGAGTCAAGTCAGTGATGACGAAAAGAGAGGCAGGTCAGGTAGATCTGGCACAAATGATGAACGTGCTGTTCATGCTTCTGAGACTTCTAGGTTGCATGAACATAGACAAAAGGAGGGCAGTAGAAAGGGTAAAGAATCTGAAGGTGTGGATCACAATCCATTGATTCATTCTCAGAGAAATGAGGATGAGCACAGTGGACCAATAAGTGAGAAGGTATGCATTTCACTATACCCCATACCCTAAGCTTCTCTCGGTCAGTAAGTTCTAGTTTAACTAGAAGCAGAATGCTCATGCTATATTTATATGTGTGTGATGAGATGTTAGTTGTATCTTCAATGATATGTGATTTTACAGATGCCTGGGATTGAATGCCATAATAGGTTTCAGTTTTCTCAGTTTTTAGTATGGCTTGGTAGGTACTTTCCACCCATATCTAGATGCCACATAGGGTTAAGTTTTGCTGACTGTTAAGTACAATATATCTACTATCCCCCCACCATATCTAGAATATTTGGCACAGAGATTCTATGATCTAATTGCTGAGGATCTCCATCAAAGATGTTTATAAGCCATACATGAAAAACTATGTTGAATAACACCTCTCAAAGGATATTTCCAACCCTCTCCTGGCACCAATGAAGAGTATGCTGGACTTATTACTTCTCTTTTATTTTTTTGGAGTTCATAGGAATACTTTAGTGGTTATGCATGGCAGGATATTAATTTCCAAACTTTTCTGTTGAATCTGTACGTGGTCTTCCTTTTAAAGGAATACCTATATTTTGATTGAATTTCAAACTGTTCTATATTTATCCTCTCTCTCTCTCTCTCTCTCTCTATATATATATATATATATATTTGTTTATGGTATTATGTTTTGTCAACTATCATAATCAAATATATCAGTTTATTCATTACTCATTTGATATGATCCTCTTTAACTTGTCATGTAGAAAGGCAACACTATAATGGTGAGAGGTCCTGAATTAGATTCAAGTGGATCTTTAGAACTTATCTGCCTTTTGCTTCACTAGGGCGTTTTGAATATTGTCTGACACTATCTGCTTCTAGGTGCTTGTGTCCCCTTAATTGTTAAAAATCTAAAGATAATAATTCTCCGATCTTAATCCTAACTGATAAGATCCTAACTGATGTTGTTGTTGTTGTTGTTAAGCACCTGAAAGCAAATTTGCTGTTGTTGTGTGTTCGAAACAAATCTAAGCAATTTCTAAATCTGTTTGGTGTAGTTCCTGAACATTTTATGTTTCAGAAAATTTTGAGAATTCATTAAAAGCAGTGTCATTAAACTTCTAACCATTAAATGCTAAATAGAAATAGAAATAGTCAAAGCTAAATAGTCTAAAATCACATTTTCATGGAGTAGTTAGCGAGTAATAGTTTGTGAGTACTGCAGATTGTTTTAAATGTTCATGCCTTTCTGTGTAAAGATAGGCCTTGTATGGAGACCCTATGGTGTGCTTGGATGCATGATTGGGTGTTGGGTTTGGGGTTGTGTATATTAAAATTTTGATTTGGAATAGGTGTTTGATGTGATGTTTTAAATGAAAAATTAATTTTTGACGTAATATGGAAAAATGAAAAATATGGTTTGATTTGATGTTTACGAAGGGGAAAAAAGTGCTGAATAGTAAGATCCCGGCCCCAAACCTACATCCAAACACACTCCTATATTTTTATACTATCATGTTAATGCCGGCTTGGATCTTTAGTCAGTTTGCTAGCTTGTATCTCTTTCTGTTGTCGATTCTTTTCTAATTAAAATTTCAAGTGCTGGTTCCATTCTACTTCATTTTATTATGGAGTTTTCTACTTCATACTAGAAAGGCTGCTGGATATCCTATATTAGGTATGTCTTTGAATCTATGAATATCTTTATTGAGTGCCTGCCAGTAGTGTTATAGTGTACACCCTTAATTGTAGTGTTTTGAGTTTTCATGGTGAGATTAGATTCTGTATTGATTCTTTCATATTTTATAGCATTTGCATCTATTATGAACCTGATTCTTCTTGATTTAAGCTCATTAGAAAATGCTTTATTATTGTGCTATATCCTTCTTTTTTCATCTCAGAATGCATTTTCGCTATAAAAAAAAAAAAAAAAGAGAGAAAAGAAAACAAAAACAAAAATCCTTGGATCTTGATCATGTCCAGTTCCATGGGGGTCTATTTACATATTTACATGCATTTTTTAACATTTTATCAGGTAATTTGTTGGGCTAAGAATTGTGCATTATGTATTCGGGGACATCTATTGCCTTTTTTTGGGTTTTTTTTTCCAGATTGTCTTTGCTCAGGATTTGCTAGATGATGATCATAATAGGTTTCTGTGGTTTGGTACAAAAACATTTATTTCAAACTGGAAAATTTATCAACTGTTTTCCATTTTGCGCTACGGTTTCAGATAAGTACAAGGGGAAGAACCGAACGTGAGAGTGGTAAGGATGATGTCCACTCCAGTCGCCAGTCTTCTCGAAGGCACAGAGAGGAGCATTCCTCCGATGAGGAGCAGACAGGTGCGAAAAAGGGCCGTTCTAAATTGGAAAGATGGGCAAGCCATAAGGAGGCCGATTTCGGCACCACCTCTGTGTCTACATCTTCTTTGAAGAAGAGTAAGGATGTGCGCTCGAATAACTCACTAGGTGCTTCTGCGGGTAGTAAGCTTCCCGAGGAACCTTCCAGAAAGGGAGAAGATAAGCTGCAACGGCCTTCTGCTGATGATAAAACCACTGGCGTCGAAACAAACAGTGCCACCAAAGCTGTTGATAATAAACACCTGGATACAGTCGCTAAGCTAAAGAAGAGAAGCGAGCGATTCAAACTTCCCATGCCAAGCGAGAAAGACGCCCCATCCATCAAGAAAATCGAGAGCGAGCCCCTGCCTTCAGCTCAGACCGAAAATCACCAAGATTCAGAGATCAAGTCAGAGCGGCCAGCGCGAAAGAGGAGGTGGACTGGCAATTGAATCCCCATTGCAAACAAAAACAGAGGTTAAAAGTTTAGCCGGGTGGTTTTTAATTTCTTTTCCGAGGATATCACTATTGCCGCCTTCTTTGTCATCTGTATCTCTTAAAAACATCCCACAATCGTTACGGTCAGGGTTTAATTGTGTGCCATTTTATATGTTATACAAATATGTAGCCATGTGGTGGCAGTTGATCATAGATTTTGCCTTGAGAAGTACACAGAGATAACTCTTCTAGAAAGTAGCAGTATATACTGACCATGAATGGGGGGCGTGTTCGTATTTACATTTACATTCGCATTCTTATTTACGATATTTACACACATACATGTACTTTGTTGTATTGTGTTACATCTTGCTGGATCTCAGGTTTTGGATATCTTACAGCAAAACATTACCTGCCTGGACAACTGAGAAAAGCTTCTATCTGGAGAATGTAAAAGCCGACGAGCTGTGGGATGAATGATGAATGAGTTCCAGGATTATAGCTACAATGTTGTAAGCATATTAGTTTTCTTGTCATTATTCACACTGTTTTGGTGGTTTTATGATTAGTTTGGATTGAACTCGGCCCTTCGAATCTTTGTTCTTCGTGTCGTTAGTAGTTTCTCACGGTTAGCGAGTCCAATGATCTCAGAGAGGGGTCAAGCACATGAAAAATAGACAAATAGCAAGTATCTTCAATCAACACGACACGTGATATGGTTAAATGATATGAAATTCACCTGTCATTTTACAAAATTACGTAAAATTCTCCATACTTTCAAATTGCGTCAAATTTTCTTGTGGTTTCATAAACTATGTGTCTAAATTCCCTCGGTCATCTTTATTTATCAGTTTTTTAATTAACTATTCTTGAGTATACTTATTATTTCTTGAGGTTAAATAATAAAAATAATGATTATATTTATAATTTGAAGAGTTTAGAAATAAAGATTTTCATATTTTGGGCAGTCTTCTGACCCATAGTCTTCTGTCTGCTTGTCTAAATTCGAATAATTCTTACAAGGTCAATATTTTTAGTTTGATTGAATACGTGATAATATATTTTTTTCATCATCAATTTCATTCAAAATAATAAAAATATATAATTTTTCGACCTCAATGAAATTCTTTAGCCCTCTTAGCGGAGTAACTCTTTACTCCGCCACTATATGTAGTACAACTTTGTTGCAATGCTTTGAACTTTTGTGCATTAATTTCCAAGACGATAAACTATGTGGCCGAGTTTGTAGGATACGGTGGCTGCCGGTGACCGCAAAGTTGGCGAAATTTTTTATTTTTGTAACGATCGCCATTCAGTTGGATGACATTTCTATTAACCTTAGTATTGCTGAAACCCAAAAAATCATAATAGTAGTTTAAACAAACCTTAAAAATGTATGTATTGTATGAAACAACAAAATATCCATAGCACAGATTTAGCCTAGCCACATGGCCATGAAATGAAATTATTGATGAACTTTTTAATTAAAAAGTCTGTTTATTTGTGATCACATCTGAGTTTGTGGAGTCAAGTGTAGTCTGCTAACATCATATTTCTGTTCCTTAGCCATCTCCACCAGTTCATTGTAGATTTTTTCATCCAGTTTAGGTTCTCTGTTCAGAATCTGCATCAGCACAAATTAATTGATTAATTAATTAATTAATTAATAAATAATAATAATAATAATAATAATAATTTATGTTCCTTGTATTAGAATAGGTAAGTTGATGATTTCATACAGCAATATATCATCCCATAATAAAGAACATACTTGATTATCATTCTTTATATATATATATATATATAGTAGCACCTTTTATTTATCATGATATATATGTAGTAGCACATTTAATTTTTTTATTGTTGTAAACTTAGTTTTGCTTTTGAAATTGAATTTTTTATTTCAATTTTAATTTAAACAATATTTTAATATGAATTTTGAGAACCTAATGCTATTGTTTTTTTTATTTGAAATTAAAAGCAAACACCTTACTATAACATGATATTTCAAGATGAAACTAAAAACAAATAACAATACTAATATACAAAATTCAAAAATTGCAAGATTTAAAAAAGAAAAAAAGAAACAAAAAGAAATACAGGATGTGTTTTTCGTGTGAAATAGGTTGAAATATTTGATTATATGAAAGCACTTTGCATAGATAATATAAAAATAATAAATATATGTAATATATATATTTCTTTTGAGAAAATGTATTTATTTTCTTTTTGACAAAAAAAAAAAAAAAAACCCACAAATCTTACAATATTTAGACCCTAGTTATTTTATTATACTTAATAATATATATATCTTCTTCCATATTTATATCCATTTGATCTAGCATGAATTTTAAGAAACGTAAGCAAAAATAGAAAAATGAACTTATATTAAAAAATAAGTTAAAAATACTGGGTGTGTTTGTTTGTAGGTTTAAATTTTTTATTTGGATTTTTGAATAGTAAAAAGTTGAATTTGAATAGTTGTTTGATGTGATGTTTTGAATGTAAAATAAATTTATAGTATAATAATATATTAAAAAAAAATAATTGTTTGATGTGATATTTTTGAAAAAAAAAATAATCTGAATAAGTAGAATAGTAAAAACATGTGCTAAAATTACAAAAGAACACAACCATTATTTTTTACTAAAAGAAAAAATAAGAATATTTTAAAATAAAAAATAAATAAATATAAATTTAGACGACAAATAAAATAATATTAATTAGTTCAACAAAGTAAGCAAATTCTTACATTCTATACACAATTCTCTATAAAAGTAAGATCTTAATATCATCTCAAAAGTATAAGAATTGCGACTTACCCAAAGATAATTCCTCGAGGGATGCCCGACCAAAGCATGTTGATAATTGACATCGACGAACAGAATCCAATAATCTCCGGTGACAGGGATGATAGGAAGAAAAGGCGGCACAAAGAATCTAACTTTAAGCTTAGCCTCGTCGCTCTTAGGGTCGGCCTTAAAGGCAATGCCTTGAATGCTAACACTTTTCCCGTTGTTCCAACTCTCGTTGAGGACCGTAATTGTGCCATTAGGATTAAGGCTATACGTCGCCCTCGTGTTCGCGTAACTTTTGGGCTGAAATATCGACGGGAACGATGCAATCTCGTACCATCGCCCCATGTATTTTGCGACGTCGAGATTCTTGACAACTTTTTGTTGATCTTCGGCCGAATTCACATCTTTTGGAATACTTAAAATGAACAAGAAGAAGAAGATCATAGACATTGTTGTCTTTTTTAGTGAACACATGTTTTGGACAAGTCTAGGTGTGCTTAGGATGTTTTTTTTTCATTGTGTGGTTGTAGTAAGTACATATATATATATATATATAGGTAAGGGGGGTAGGGGTAGGTGGAGAAGGGGGGTGGGTAGAATCTACTAGAAATTATTAAGGGTCTGTTTGTCTGTGGGTTTTGGGATTTTAGGTTTTGATTTTTGAATAGTAAAACATTGAATTTGAATAGTTATTTGATGTGATATAATTAGAGGTTGATGTGATATTTTGAATATAAAATAAATTTATAGTATAATATAAAAAAGTAAAAAGTAATTGTTGGAGAAAAAAAAAATATGGGTAAAAATTTTGGTATCTTTTTCATAATGTGAACATTTTGACACTTTTGGTATAAAGGTTTGAATGTTATTACCAAATAGATTTTGTGTAATAATGATTTGAGTTTGTGTAATAATTTTTTAATTTAGTATTTTATTGGAGAAAATATATATATATATATATATTAATGGGATTGTACATAATGTATATACTTAGAATAATAAAAATTCAAACCAAACACTATAAAGTCGAAATTTGAAACTATGATTGGATTTTTGGATATGGTCTTTAGTACACAATCCTAAAATTAATTTATTCTAATCCCTATTAAATTTAAAAATCAATAAATTAATGGTCAAGATTTTATTCAACTTGCCATGTTTATGTTCTTTATCATACTTACTATAAATTTATTTGTATATAAATTTATGGTAAGTATGATAATAAGTTATATAATTAAATGATTCGCTAAATTAGTTAATGGTTTTAAATATCATATTTATGAGTTTGTTTGGGTTTTGGTATTAAAAATTTAACAAATATATATATATATATATATCTCACTATCAGTACCAAAAAAAATAAATTCGGTCTCGGAAAATTGTCTCGGAATGGATTCCGAGACCATATTAATACATATATAATATATTCTGAATAAACTAAATTGGGTTGGTCTCGGATTAATTAGAATAGTCTCGGAATTTCCGAAACTCTATTAAATATATATTTTTATTATATTAAATTAAATAGTCTTGGAATTTTTGAGGCTATATTAAATATGTATTTTATTATATTAAATTGTTTCAAAATTTTCGAGGCGATATTAAATATATTTTTTATTATAAAAATGGTTGTTTGTCCAATTCATTTTTACTTATATAATTCTCAATATATACATTTTATTTTCTCACAAAAATTAATATTAATTTTTTTTATTTTTTATTACTGACATAATTTTATATACGTTAGTAAAAAATTATTTCAAATTAAATAACTAATCAAACACACTATTTCATATAACAAAATATTAATTTCAAATCAATTTTTCAATAAAAAAATATTTTCAAATCAAAATCAAACAAATCCTGTAATACAATTATATAAGAGTTTGGAATTAGGTCTTAATTTGAAAATATGTTTATATAGTATTTTGATGTGATATTTTATAAAATAAAATAATATATTTATATTAAAAATTGTGCCGGTTAATAGTGATATTTTTTTTTTATAAATAATTTTCTATTAAGTGACAATCAAATAAAAAAAAAATAAAAGTTAGAAGATACTTCAAAATAAAATACTTGTAGAACGCAATATTTTTATATAAAAATAGTAAAATCGATGAAAACTAAAGTGTGAATGAAAACAACATCAAACGATTGAGGTAAATAGTTCAAATTGCGAAAGAATAATTGATCATTTGCATTTTTATTCTTTTATTTCACGATACATTTCTCTCATGCAAACATCCCTCATTGTTTTCCAACACAAAATTTTACTCCGGTTGTATTCTTTACGCTTTTTTCTCTCATATACATTTTTCAGGAAAAAAAATATATATATTACACATTCATTATTTTTATATTACTTACACAGATCTCTATGTCTCACAAAAAAATATACCATTTCAAATTATTTTACAAAACAAATACAGCCTCCATTGATACACCGTCACATTCTTTATCTAGCAATATGCTTCTAGTTGAACCCCGAACTGTTTCTTTGTTCGTGGGTACAAATAATCGTCTTTTCTTGAAAAGATGAATCATGAAAGCCAAAGAAAATTTCGAATTGAAAGAAAGAATCGAAGGATGAATTGAGGCCATAAGTTTGCTTGGGGACAAAAGGGAAAGAGACATCTCTCACCATCAATTGTGTGGATGCATTCAATCAAGAGCGGAATAAATCTTATTACACTTGTTGTTTGCGTCGTATATTCATACTATAAGGGTGTGTTTGTTTTTGGGTTTAGATTTTGAGTTGAGATTTGAATAGTAAAAATTTTGAATTTGAATAATTGTATTATGTGATATAAATAGGTGCTGATGTAATGTTTTGAATGTAAAATTAATTTTTTGTATAATATAAAAAATAAAAAATACGTATTTGATTTGATATTTTTTAAGAAAAAAATTGAATGAATAGTATATTTGAAAAAAAATCCCCGAACAAACACACCATAAGTGTAAAAGTACATTGCGCATTCAAACTAGCCCCGTATAGACAAGCCAAAATGTATAGTATGTTCTTTGGTAGTTTACTTTGATTTTGTTTTTAAATTTTCAATTATTGCGATTCTTTATAGAAAAAAAAATTATATATATTATTTATTTTTTTAAAAAAATATTTTTCATATAATTATTTTAATAACTAATAAAATCAAACTCCAAAAAATACTATATTTGATTTTATATTTTATATTTAAATTTTGATCTAAATAATAAGTTTATAAAATAATTTATGAAATAAAATAATATATTTTTATATAAAAATACATGACCCTTTAAACGAATTAAATCAGCATCCTTGTCGTTTTTTTTCCATGAATGTTTGATCTCCTTGTTGAAAAGATTGAATCCAACTTGACTCATTGTGCACAAAAGATCGAAACTGACAAGAAAAGCACGAAACATGATATATTAATATTGGGTAAAAATTATACTCCATCCGTCCCAGATACCGTGTTTGCTACACTGTAGACACTGTATTTTAAAAGGGGTGTAATTAGTAGATAATTAAGAATGTATTAGTGAAAATAATTATCTTATGATATAAATAATTATAAATTAAGATTAAGATAACTAATTAGTTTAATTAAAATTAAAAAATTTAAAATGAGATTAAAGTGGATAATCATTTTCGTGACATGGTACGTGGGACGGACAGAAACCACAACGTGAACATGGTATCTGGGACGGAGGGAATAGTATTTTTTTTTTTTTTTTCAAATTTTTATTATATACACTTCCTTATAACATAGTACATTATTATTATTTTTTTTACAGTACATTATATCTAATTATTATTTAAATTAAAATAAAAAACACAAAAAAAAAAGCCATCCATTAATGGGTTTTGTGATATTGTTTGGGTGAAAATTTTTTTTATTATTATTTTAAATATTTTGTGGGAAAAATTATACTACCTCCGTCCACCGCCAAATCTATTTATTTTTATTATATTTTGATATAATAATTAATATTTAAAAATTAACGTATAAAAAATAAATGGATAGATTGATAGTTGACAGGGGCAGTACTATATTTTTATTAAGAAAAAAAAGGGTAATTTTTTTCTTTTTAATCAGGAATGAAATAATGTGTCAAAGTATATTTAAGTTAAAAACATCTTTCATTTGGATGTATGTTTTTTTTTCTTTTATGTTAGGTACTAGGAAATATCTGTAATATTAAAAAAATATCTTTTGGATTAAATTGTTAATTTTTTTTTAAGTGAATAAAGTATATATTATATATATTGTGTTAATGTATTTTTTTTTTTATATATATATAATTTGAAAAAATAGCGCCAGCTAAAAACACAAAGTAAACAATTATCCGTAAATAATTTTATCGAAATCAAGAAACAAATACCTTTGATAGTTAGATATAATTTGTTGTAGGAAGTGTCTTAATCGATCTCTATCCCATGGTGTAAGAAGGAATAGGCAAATTTATTACAGTGGTCTTGATTTTGGTCATCATGTTGATGCTGTTAGTCACTCCTTGTGATCCTATTCCACTCTCTTTTATTCCCTGAGAAAAATTAATTCAAGAACCCACAATATGATCACAAAAGTCCATCAAAAACAACATATACATATTCCTCGAAGATGTCGATCGAACTAATTAGTTTGATCACCTGGAAAGGGAAATGGTCGGGTCCCCGAGCCGGGGCCGAGTTGATCTGCACTGTCCCCGTCTCCATGGCGTCGCTGATTAGCATCGCCTTGTCAATGTCCTTAGTAAAGACACACCCCTACACCATATATAGTATGCGCGAAAGAAAATCGTATTTGTAAGATCTATGTTCTAATAATGTAAAGACATGAAATTCGTTCTATGATCTATCCTCGCGTCCTAAGCACAAGATTGGGCATAATCTCTACATTTGTATACTTAATCTTTACGCGATAAAAATTTTGTGCATCCTTTTGTAACTACAACAGTGAATAATACAATAAAATTTATATCTAGTTCCGGAGTCACTGTGGATCTAAACTCATAATGTTCAGATCCATTTGTATATTTATTTTGATAACATGGAGACCTGAAGTCACTACTTTTGGAGTGGTCATTTAACGAACCCCTGAACATAGTGAAGTAACCTGTAAACTAAGTCAGTCTAAAAGGCTAGTTTAAGACATTAGGATCCATCTTTATAATCTTTAGCTCTTACCATTGTGTTAAATATCTACGAAATCATATATATATATGAGATGGTTAGGGTGCCGATTTTCCAAAATTAGTATACGTAAAATACAGAAACAACACATCTCTTTATTACACATAACACATGCTATTTGTTCATAATTATAGCATGTGTTGTATATGTTGTGTGCTAGAATCAACTGTTGTATATGATGTGTGAAAATATATCATGTGTTATTAATTTATATACTGTATTTGTATTATATTAACGCATGTTGTGTATTGTCCATTAGCACACGATGTGCTATTCAACACAGTGCTGAATATAAAATTTTTGAATATGAATGACTTTTATATTCAGCACTGTAGCTGTTGTCAATATTTTTTTATCCATACACTCACGCACTCACACACCCCTTGGGGATTGAATCCCTAACCTTTAGCATGTGAATAGAGGGGTTCAACCGCTTGAACTACACACTCTCAGTACGAAACCATATGTTTATACATAGTAGGTGCACGATGCGTACCTGGAGGCCAAAATTGCTCGCGTTGCAATAATGGATTCCTTCTTGGACGGAGCTAATCCTAATTACGGGTAGAATAGGCCCGAACGGTTCTTCCCACGCTATCTTCATGTCGGGGCGAACGTGATCTAATAGCAACGGCCAAATGAGGTTTCCCTCCCTCTTGTACTCTTGGCAAAGTGTTGCTCCCTTTTCCTTGGCATCCATCACTAAGCTTTCGATCAAGTTTGCCGAAGCGGCTGACACCACCGGTGTGATGTCGCAGTCATCCTCGGGGCGCCCCACGCTCAATTCCGCCACTTTTGAATTCACTTTTTCGACTAAAGCATCGGCCACGGATTCCATCACCAATACAACCTTCACCGCGGTGCACCTTTGACCACTGTCGTTGTTAAGACAAAATAGAAGTACAACCGAATGCATTAGTTACATACTCACGAACAAATAATCTCTTATAGTAAGTGTAGCCTCGATGCATAAATTAACTGTATATAACACATCTATATTGTTCAACCATGAAATACGGTACAATCATTTTTCGCACACATACATATATATCGATGATTTGTCAAAATTTTCAAACCACTATTTTGAAACACTTTAGGTGTGTATTTTTTCTATATTTAAAAATAGTAGTTGGATATGATATTTTATAAAATAAAATAATATATTCTTATAAGAAAATATTAAAATGTGTATGTTTTCTATATTTAAATATAATATTTTATTATAAGATAAAATAAGTATATTCTTATAAGAAAACATAGAGATAGTACAATTCTAAAAAATAATTATCAAAGAGAACAGAGCCTAAGCGATAAATATGTTAAACGTGAAAAGTATATAAGTACCTATAAGAAAATCCCCCTTTCAATATGTTTGTGGCTACCAAGTCGATATCGGCATCCTCAAGAACAATACAAGCGTCTTTCCCTCCGAGCTCCATTTGTAGGGGAATCATTCCGGCTCTCTTTGAAATCTTGATGCCAGTGTTGCCACCCGTAAAACTAACAAAAAAAAAAAACAAGCAAATTAACGGCACAAACTTAAGTTATGTTTAGAAAAACAAAGATATCAATAGAGTTTGCGATCATTTGCCTTATGCAATTCACTCCGGGGTGCATTGTAAGAAAATCCCCGATTTCGGCGCCTTTCCCCGTGATACAACTAATAAGTCCCTCGGGAAACCCCGCCAAGTGAAGGCAATGCACCATATGAAGGCACGCCACGGCACCCTACAATTCAAAAGGATAAGTCATGCGATGTTTATTACCAAAAAATCGAAGGCAAGATGAATGTAGGTATAAGTGATCGATGAATTAATGGTGTACCTGCGTCGGAGGCTTGATGATGAGGGCATTCCCGGCAATGAGAGCCGGTGCAACTTTAGAGACCGCGAGATTTACCGGGTAATTAAAAGGTGGAATTGCTAGAACAACACCTAAAGGGATCTTTAGGATCAAAGGCAAAATCATATATTTAGTTGTACTAAAAATAAATTGATTGAAACTTAACTTCGAGATCAAAAGTTTTATAGAATATTCTATTTGTTCAATGGGTTTGAATTTCGAGTTTTGATTTGAATTATTGTTTGATATCGTCATCTAAAAAAGAATTGATATGATGATTTAAAAGAATAATATATATATATAGTAGAAATAAAATAAGCCAAACAAACACACCCCTCAAATAATCCTAATTAAAAACGAGGATTGAAATATAGAACCATAGCCTATTTTAAAAACTAAAATGAAATTTCCTTCGTCTCACTTACGGTGTCTATCTTTCCATTTTCGTCTGTCTCATTTATTTTGTCACTTTCTGTTTTTAGAAAAGTATTATACATTTTAGTTTTAATATGTTAATTTAAAATTATTTTTATTAAATAATTATTATTTTCATTAATACATTTTTAATTATATAATAATTATATTTCTCCTAAATTCTCGTATCTATAGTAAAAAGGACACCATATTTGAGACAGAGGGAGTAATAAATATCGTCTACGTAACAAAATTTATATTTTTCCTTGAAGTAACGCTATTTTGAAATTATAGTACTACTTAGGACGTTATAACTGATAGAATTATATTATACAACATTTAAAAATATGAGTTCCAAGCGAATAATACGCGCGCATACATACAAACATACATACCTTAGATGTTATACAATATTTGGTTCTTTCATTTCCGGGAAAGCTATCGGATACAAGAAATGAACCTTGTCCCAAGACTCGGACTCCTTCCTCCGCGCAATAAGAGATCAAATCCCCAGATCTCACAACCTACATATAATTTAGTCGTACAATATCGTCGTGATTTTTTTTTTTTTTTTTTTTTTCAAATGTTGTAAAAGAAAACAAAAAATAAAAAAAAAAGTTACTTGGTGAGATTATTACTTCTTCTGTCATTCTATTTTATACTTAACTTTTCTGTGCATTTTTTAATATAGATGGATAATACTTTGTTTTTTATATATATATTACAAATAAAAGTACAAAAGAATATAAAGAATTTGATTGGTTAAAAATTGCATGCGTTCAAATGTTTATATTATATGTATTTTTAGGCGTCGTGACAGTAATTATAACTAATTTATTTAGAAACCAATAAAATTAAATATTTATCGATGATCAAACTCACTATCCAAATTGTCAATTTTATTCATAAACTGGAAGCTTATTTTTATTTAATTTATCTTTTAGCCGTAGATTTTTAGTTTGATATTTTTATTTTTATTTTTATTTTCCATAATCCCCCATTTTATTATATCTATATATTAAACAATCGAAAAAAAAAAATATTTCTAAGAAGACGATTCTACTTCAGTTATACTACGCTTATTTTTATTGTAGAAGTAAATTTATTTTATTTAATTTTGCAGTGCGTAACGAACGTTATCACATTTTTTTACTAAAGAGTAGTGATAATATTTTTTATGACAATCTAAAAATTAAGAAATATACATAAATTTGAATAATAGAGAGAATATAATTTTAATCTACATATACCTCAGTGACGGCATCTTTTGCCGGTTTGGCAATCTCCTTTATCAAAGCCTTTGCGATCGGGGCTTTATGCTCTTTGAGGATGGCCGCGGCTTTGTGAAGAAGCTCTGCTCGTTTCCAAAGCGGTGTTTGTGCCCATGACTTTTGGGCGGATTTCGCCATGGTCATTACTACATCGACCTCTTCTTTTGTACAAGCTGTTTAATAGAAAAATTGTAAGAATTATAAATGTGTATATATGTGTATTTAATAAGATTAAATCCAAGAAGTTAGTTCAATTTATGAATATATATATATATATTAGATTAAAAATTCAATTGTGGTTAAATATAACTATTTAGACTATAAGTTAGATTAAATTTATATTAAGTTATCTATTAAATTTATTAAACTTAAATATATTTAGTAAGTGTGAACCTCTTATATACAGAAACTCGATAACTTATTAATTGAGTAATGAGAATGTAATTTTATTACAAAAGTATTTTTTTTTTTTTTTTTTGCTTATTAAATATCAAATTTTCATTCAAAATTATATACTCAACATGACTTGAAATCTTTGGATTTATTTGTTTTGGTTTGAATTTTTTTTATTTAAATTTTAATTTAAATAGCATTTGAAGATGAGGTATTGATGGGTTTATGTACAATTAATTCCAACTTTTCTATATATACACATACAAAATTGTATTATATATATATATGAGAACGGTTAGAATGCTAAATTGAAAAAATCTCATCATGTTGATATATAAATAGCACATAATTTTATTATACACAACATATATTGTGTATAATAACGACATGTGATATTGGTTCATAATTACAAGTGTTATAAGTGTATATGGTGTACTGAAATCAACTATTATTTGTGTTGTGCATGGTTATAACATGTTCTGTTAGTTTATATGTTGTATTTGTATTGTTGGTTCATAATTACAAGTGTATTGTAGTTAGTGTGCTGAAATCAAATATTGTTTGTATTGTATAATATTACATCATATGTTGTTAGTTTATATGTTGTATTTATATTATATGAATACATACGGTGTGCTGCATGTAGCAATACCGTGTGTTAAAGATGCCCACCATTACTTAGAATACATTTTTTTTTTATTTAAAAAATTTATTCAATTTTTATTTTCTATTTAATTTTAATTTTCTATTTAATTCTTTTTATTATAAAATATTAATTAAATTAAACTTCAAATCAAACCAAAAACAAACCCCTATATTTAAATTTTGTTAGTGCATTTCATTAGTATTATTTTATTTATTTATACCATATATTCCAAATATCTAATTTTAATACCTAAGTAAAAATATCAACACGTCACCGCTAGCATAAGTCCACACTTTACGTTGTTGTCGAAGTTATAAAACTAAACACTTAAAATAGCCTGCCAGTTATTTTATTATATCAAAAGAAAAATTTTATACTTTAATAAATATGCTACCATTAAAAAATTTTAATGCCCTATTTAAAATTTAAAATAAAATTATTATCCAAAAAAAAAATATTAGATGAATTATTTAAATTTTAAAATTTAAAATATCATCAATATCCAAATAATTAAAATTAAATTCAATTAAAATAATTAATTTATATTTTAAAATATAAATATACAAAATAATATTATATTATTATTATTATTTAATAAATCTGAGTCTTATAATTTATTTTATTTTTAAGTTTATATATTGTGCAAACAGTAAAAAAAATTTATGGATCGGCAGCTGGTCGTAACATCACATATTTTTTTGGTAAACTAATATTTTGGTCCATAATTGGACTCTTTTATTGTTTTAGTCTCATATACGGAGACTGTTGCAAACTAGTCATGTAAGTGAAAATTTTTTGTATTTTTAGTTCTTCGGCGTCGGAGATGCTTACGTGGTACCGGCGTGGCTCGCCGGAGGACACGAGTCCGTCAGGTCAACGACACTTGGCGGACAAATAGATTTTTTTTTTTTAAAAAAAAAAAAAGTTTGTATTTATTTTGTCTTTTTTGTAAAAATTAAAAAAATTCAAAAAAAGTTGAAAATTAAAAAATAAAATAAAATAAAAATACACGTGTTTGTCAGGTGTCTTCTGTCCCAGTAGGCATCTCCGACACCGGAGGACTAAAATTGCGAAAATTTTCCACTTACGCAATTAGTTTGCAACAGGTTTCGTTACGAGACTAAAATAATAAGAGTGACACTAAGAAATCAATTTATCCAATATTTTTTTATTTAATTGGGAAAAATATAGACAATTTTTTCACACGCGTACATATTACATATACATACCTTGAACCTTATAGTGAGGCTTTCCTGTTGTAGGATTGATGATTGAAACAACCTTTCTTGATGAGGACTTCTTCCACTCTCCAGCACCATAGTATTTGAACACACCATCTTCATCAACCATCTCTTCGAAAACTCCGGTTCCCGCCTCGGCCCCGTCGTTCAAATTGGCCTCAACAACTCCCGACCCCGAGGGGGACGTCGTGGGGCATTGTTGGGACGAACCATTAGCACTGACACAACCACGACCACGACCACAAATGGATGATGGAAATGAAATTCTTGCATTTCTTGACGGAATATTTGCGAATGTGTAAGAAGTCGTGGAGGCGCACGGCTTGTCCGTCGAAAATTTTGGGACATACCACCATGTTGCAACATTTGATTGCAACATTATTCTCCACAACGTCAACTTGTAATAATATATCGATTAAATCCCGGTCGAGCTATTTACTTTCCGATTTAATCAACTTCTTTCTTCTTTGTTGATATCCTTAACAAAATTTACATATAGCACTCATGTGATCATAAACGAAAACTTGAGTTTTACTAAAATGTTTATAAAAAAAAATATCAAATCAAATATTTGTGCAAAAAATAAAAATAAAAATCAGAGTGGTTGCATAAGAAGAGTGCATTTAACCAAAATGGTTTGTAAATAGAATTTGCATTAACAAACAAATTAAACCAAATCCAATTAAAGGGCAAGAATTTGTAACAAAATTGCATGTATAGATAAAAACAAGAAAACCCATGAAAAAAGATTGGATTTTGTACAATGTACATACCTTTTTTCATCAGAAAATTTTACAATGCTTCAGAAGTTCTTACAACAATATTTGGTGAGATATATATATATATATATATTATTGCAATATTTTTTAATTAGAGTGAGAGAGTAGTTTTTGGGCAGATAATAAAATATGGTTAAGTGTTGGTTGAGAAAAAAATGGAGAAAGTCAAGGAAACACACACTCTAATAAAAACATTTGGAGACTAAGTCAGGGAGATATATTTATATTTAATTAATTAATCAATTAATGGGCAGCCAGAATTAACTATTCAGTTACCATTCAAAAATATATCGTTAGATTCAATATATTTCAATTTATTATCATGCTTAACATACATACGAATTAACAAATTAAATATTGCATTTATAAATTGATTTATTCCGCTACAAAGTGCATCTAGTGAAGCCGTCAAAATGGATTGAGTCCGTCGGATTGGCCCGCCCGCCTCACTTTTTAGGAGGATTGGGTTGTGATTTTATAAGCCCGTAAAAATGTGGGCCTAAACGGGCCAACCCACGTGGGCCGTGGGTTGAGAGTGGGTTAGCCCGTGAGGCGGGTTATCAACTAAATATTTTTTTTAATTATTTTTTATTGTCATATTAAAAAATTATAATAAAAGTAATCAAATATTAATATCAGAATATATTTTAATTTTATGTAAATTACAAATATACCATTGTAAATACAATTAAATTAATTTATAAATAACGTACAAAGAGAAAAAAATATCAAAATCATCATGTACATTTTATTTAATAAATAATATATTATTATTTTTAATCTACTGAAAAGATATATTTTTAGTTAAGACAATAAAAGTAGCTTAAATAAATTAATAAATATTGTCTACAAGTTACTTTTATTTTTATCAATGCCACTTTTATTTATTTTGATTTTTCATCATTTGTTTCATAAAATTAATTATGATTTATTTGTAAAATATTTCTTATTATTAGTTTTTTTAAACACACTAACTAATGGTACTATTTAGAATTGAAATTTTTTTATATTTTTTTATTTTAAAATATTTATTATTTAGATTATACAATAAAACTATTTTTAGTTATTTTAAAATATTAATTACAAAAATATTTTTAATATTATTTTTTAAAAAAAGCTCATGGGCATCACCCGCCGGTAGATTGGGTTAATGAAATTTTGATCCGTTCCACCATGAATTGTGGGTCAATCCGCCCTATTAACCCATTTTGATAGGTCTAACATTCTGTATAACTAACTACCGTAAATGAATACGAAGGGAGCTGAAGGATTTCCTAAATGTATCTCTCATTTTGAACAGAATTTATGATATAAAAATATATATATATTAATGTATTTAATAAATATAAAAATATTAACTTAGTAAGAATGGATTGAATTCGACGAGGGCGGAGGTTTGAGACCCCGAGCCTCGCCACTACATGGTACTAATGAAATAGTTTTCAATGTATGGTTATTTGAGTTCGAGTGTGTTTGTTGTAATTTAAATTTTTATCATCTGATATAAATAACGTTGTTTTCACTCGATCCATTTATTATAATTAAGTCCAATTATTCAAATATATATAATTGCGTACATATATATATGACAATTTACATTTTATGAAATATATATATATATAATTACAATTCCAAATAGCAATAAATTATTGAAACAAAATAGGCAGGAATAACGAGGAAGAACATTAATTACTCCAATTTATTTATTAATCTAAAGCATTCAAATTATAAAAAAACACATTGTTAGCGCGAAAAGCCCAATTAAGACAAGACTACGCATCAAAACGGTGTCGTCTTGTTCGCATAATGATATACATAAAAAGGCCACATTAGTAATTTTTCAGTACTCTCCTTATTGAAAAAGCCTTATGTTAACAAAATAATTCAATTAATCAACTCCATTACGGTCACTAACCTTAGAATGTTTTCCGGCGATTTCTCCGGCAGCGGCGCTGCTTCCGCCGAGCACGGTCGTCGATTGGACGGTGAGAGCTGACATGCTTGGGGAGGGTGGGCCGCCGCTGAGGTTGTGGTGGTTCCGGGGAGTGGCGGTGGAAATGGCGGTAGCGAGGGATATGGGCATGAGGCAGAGGCCCTTACCCTGGAGGTACTGCATGGCGGAGCCCATGTCTTCCTCCATCATCTTCGCCACCTGCTGCTCCGTCACCGCCGCCGCCGGAATCCCTTCTTTGTGGTTAGATGTCGACACCACCGCCGTCGGTGTTCCGTTGCCGGTTCTTCCCTGTTCGGAATATATAAGATTAGCTCATGGGTTCAATGCACGCTAAAACTACTTTGAGCAACATTTTTATACTAATTGTAGATAGTAATTTTTTAAAACAAAAATACTCCATTCCTCCAACTCAAAATATTTTTTTTTTATTTTAGAAAAAATAATTATACACTAGTATCAAAATACCATTACACATACAATTAACTTTATACAAAAAGTCAAAGAGCAAAAATGTCAAAATCTCTTTGAACACTTCCACTGATCAATAAAATACTCTTATTTCTTAATCTACTACAAAACTCCAACCGGCTTTTTGGTTTGTGGAACAGAGGGGAGTATTAAATAAAATACATATTTTTTTATTGAAAATATTACATTAAATACTTCTTAATTATTTACTATTATTATTTGTTTTTCAAAATTTAAAAAATCAGTATCTAATGAAACCTCGGTTCCTCAAAAAATATACTTTCAATGATAATGTACAAAATATTTCAAACAAAAAGAATTATTTTTCTTTTTGTATATATATATATATTTCAATCTTTTTAATAATGTAGTTCACCATTTTAAATAAAAAAAATATATATATATATATATTTACTTTTTATATGAAGCATAACATACAATCATTTTCACTTAGAAAATAACATATACCTATAAAAAAACAAATCAAACACAATATTCTAAATGCCAAGTATTCTAAGCTACTTTAAGAAAGAGTAAATACAGAAATAATAAAAAAGATATAACAGTACATGCAAGTATTTTGAAATGAAAGAAGTTTTAAACAATAGTATTCCCTTCCAAGTTCCATCTCTAATGTGTCACAATACATTTATTTCTGGTTAAATTATTTTCTACTTATACACATTTGGGCTCTGTCTAAAGAGAGAAATATATAGTTTAAATATATATATATATATTAGTATTTAATATGAAATTTCTTATAAAAAAAAATTAATGTAGATCACTATTATTAAAAGTTCTATCAATATCTATGTAAACAAAACATTGGTATGTTTTACTATACATTAATTTTTTTTAAAAAATACTCCCTTCGTTCCGAAACAATAGTCTTGGTTGTGTTGACTACGAAATTTAAGAAATATTGATATTATATTGATAATGGATAAAAAGTATAGGTAAAAGACATTTTTGCTCTTGTGAGTGTATTAATGTAAAATATAGTAGCAATTGTGTAATAATAATGAAATAGTAAAGGTAATTATATAGTGATATGATTATTTATGAAAGTAAGACTATTGTTTTGGAACGAACAAAAATAGTAAACAAAATTATTATATTGGGACGGAGGGAGTATAATATCTAAACACTCATTTTTCATATAAAATATCATGTAAAACAATCCAAAATAAGACGCTGATTATTCCTCTTTCGTAACAATATAGGTTGTCTTACGTATGTTATTAGGTCCAAACAAATGCATTTGTTTTAGACAATATTTTTTGGGCGTTTGGTACTATTTTAATTTTTCTAAAAGTATCGTATTATACTACTCCCTCCATCAATAAAATATATATTTATTTGACCGGATATGCATTTGAAAAAAAGTAGGTAAAAATAAAAATATTTTCTATTTAGAGTAAATTAAAAAAATAGAGAAAATAATATTTTCTCCGTTTCATAACAAAGTATCCATTTTTCCATTTTAGTCTATCCCATAACAAAGTATACATTTCTTTTTTTAGTAACTGTACTATCTATCTAACATTACAAATACCATTGCAACTTACAATATATTACACAAATGTCATTACCTTTATATCACACGTACTAATAAGGTTATTTTAGTCATTTCTATTTTATTCCTACTAGATCCTAATGTAATATTAATATTTTTAAAATTACGTGTAAAAAACAAATGAATATTTAGTTTCGGGATGGAGAGAGTATTTCTTTTTAACTAAAGAAAGAAACCAGAATAAATTTAGATAACAATAAAATAAATAAATAAATAAATTTGAATGACAGAGATAGTACATTTTTCATTTTTTTTAAAAAAAAAAGAATTCAAACTCACAAAAGGAGGGTTGTAAGATTGATTTATAAATAATATTTTAGCTAAAAAAATAAAATATTTTCAACAAATTGAAAAACTCAATAAATACAATCAGTCTCTAATTGCTCAGAACTTAGAAAACTATATCAAACTTTTTAATGCCCTTATCCCTTTTCTCCCAAAAAGTCTTCAAATTCAAATCTAAGATATTTCAAAACAATCCCACGTTGAGATTATGTAATGGTACGATAGGAAAAGCAAAAACTTTTAGGGTGTGTTTGATTGGGGGTTTGGATTTTGGATTGGGATTTGAATAGTAAAAATTTTGAATTTGAATAGTTGTATGATGTGATATAAATAGGGTTTGATGTGATGTTTTGAATGTAAAATTGATTTTTAGTATAATATAAAAAATAAAAAATAGGTGTTTGATTTGATGTTTTTGGGAGGAAAAAATTGGATGAATAGTGGAAATCCTCCAAAATTCTTCAAACAAACACACCCTAATTAATGAAATTCCATAAATTTAAAAAAATAATAAAATAAAAGGTAATTACCTCAGAAGACTTTGCTGCAGCCAAAGGAGTGACACCCACAGCTGCACCACCCCCTAACCTACTCATGCTTAAAACCTGTAATGTGTCACACTCACACCCATTAATTCTTGCAATTAAAATATTACAAGAAAATCAGAAACAGCTCATCTTGTCATTCTCAAGCACTCGACCTATTCTCCAATTTAATATTGCTGTTTCACATCATCTTGTCAATAATAGTAATAATAACATATATACTTATATATATATATATATCTATAAGCACACATGTATGGGTGGGGTGGGGTGGGGTGGGGTGGGGTGGGCTTACTTTGACTTGGAGCTGTAGGAATTTGACATAGTCGATGATCTCATCCAGCATTGAGGCTTTGTCTGTCTGTCAATTAACAAATGCACCAAATCATCACCATCAATATGCCCTTAATCTCATTGCAAGATATTCTTTCAATTCCCTACCATTATATAAATAAATAAATAAAAAATAATAATAATAATAATTCACCAAATCCCATCACTAGTTAATTTACTCAAGAAAAGCCCAGAACTCAGCGATTGTGATTCCTGCTCCAGCCTTGCAATTATCACTAACAAATTCCATTTCACTTCTCCATATTTATGACCATGTTCCGCAATTTATGCCTTTTACTCATATCACGTGACCGTACAATTAAGGGCCTTACCAAGGAAATTTCCTTTAATTTTCCAGATACATATATTAGAGAAATATTTATATTAATTTAAATAATAGTAGTAATTATATGATGTTATTTACATATTTACTATTAATACTTATCACAATAGAATGCACATATTAAGCAATTCAAAATCTTATACTAACAAAGCCCGATAAAAAGGGTTGAGGGGTGATTTTGAAAGGGTATTGTGGAAGTACTACCTTGTTAGCGTTGGGTACAAGCTCCTGTAGCGCCTTCATTCTCTCCGCAATCCTCTCTCTTCTCAACTGCCCACATTTCATTTTCAGCCATGAAGATAGGGACAGAAATTCAATATTTAACATTTTTGTCAACAAATAAATAAAAAAGAAAATAATAACAAAAACAAATTATTTTTTTATATGCAAATTTAATAAAAACAAAGGACAAAAATGGAATATGAAAACAAAAACGGTTTTGGTAGCAGAGTGGTTGTTGATTCGTACTCTTTCGGCGATGCTGTGGGGGTCAGTAGCCTGCCCTCTTCTCGCCCTCACCCTCTGCTTTGGCTGCCCCGCCGCCGACGCTCCGCCGTTCGCCACCGGCTGAGTCATCGCCGAGGAAACGAAGTTCTGCGATTGGTGCAATGCTCCGCCCTGGCGGAGTCATTATAGTGTATAATTTATTTGAATTTACGGTAATGAACGGATGGAATTGAGAAATTGGAATTTGAAAATTTGTTGAGAGTTGAGAAAACCTCAGGATGGAAAAATTGTGGAGATTGATTCGAGGTTTGACCGAGTGATCCTGAGAAATCGCTGAATGCAGCTTTAACTGATGCATCGTTTGCCTGCATTTATTCCGTAATAATTAGTCGATAATTTTTATATGATTTCGTGCTTTTTCGCTTTATTCTTTTGGGGAAAAAAAGACGATGAAAAGCAACGGCTGACCAGATTTGCAGAATCGAAGGATTGCGCGTCAACGACGTCGTTGTGATCGCCATGGAACATCTGGCCGTTACCTCCGGTGAGACCTCTGGAAAGCAGTAACTGTTGCTGAAGCATCAACATCTTAGCGGCGCCGGCGCTGATCTGCTGTTGTCTCATCTTCGACGCCAAAGCCAGCGCCGATTGTTCATCCAAATTCCCCATTGCAGTCAGCGACGGCTGGTCGTCGGTCCAGGGGAAAGCGGCGGAAGGAGGCACAGGTGAGAGGATTTGTTCCAGAAAATCGTCATGTGTATCGAAACTGGACGGCTGCAACATCTGTTGCTGCAATTCCTGAAAAGGCGGTGGTGGTGGTTGCTGCATAGAGCTGAAATTGCTGCTCATCCCAGGCAATTCTCGTTCCTTCATCACTGCAAAACTGAAGAAGATTTTGACAATGAAAAATGGATGGGAGAAGGAGGAAGAAGAAGGGTGGAAGAGAAGGATATGTTTGGGGATTGGGAATTTAGAATGTTTATAGCAAACCAACAACTGTAGTAGTAGAAGAATCATTTTTCATTTTTTATTTACATTTTTTCCAATAAGGACGTGTTTGTTTATTGTATTTTCTACGTTGATGATTTTAATATTTTTATTAAATATAAAAAATATCCTAATATGTATACTCCTCCAGTTCTAATGAAACGTTATTATTTTTCATTTTGGTCCGTCCCAAAACATAACAAGGTTATCATTTTCTAATTTAGTAATTATACTACTTACTTCACATAATAAATACCTTTTCAATTTACAATATATTACACAAATGTCATTACTTTTATATTATACCGTACTAATAAACTAATAAGGGTATTTTTGTCTTTTCTACTGCAATCCAATATAATACTAATATTTACATGCAAAAATCTACTGCAATCCAATATAATACTAATATTTACATGCAAAAAACAAACGTCACCTTATTGCAGGACGTAAGAAGTATATGAATTACTTTTAATATTTAGATAAAAATTGATATATTGAATTGAGAAGTATTATTTATGGTAAAATATATTCTGTCATAAAAATTATTCTCGTTTTTTTAATTTTTTTAATAGAAAAAATATCGATTATTATTTATTTTTATTAAAATTTATACCAACTATTTGAGCATAAGGCAATATATATTAAAAATACTCGTTTCTTTCTTAATCTACTCTCTTTGTCCTTTATCTATGTATCTGTTTGCTTATTAGTATTGTGTAATATAAATATAATAACATTTATTTAATATATTGTAAGTTGTAAATATATTTTTTAATGTCAGTAGAATTTCTACAGTTATAGATTGTTAAGGGATAGATTACACAGAATTTTCTTTAATAGGAGTACTATAATTTAGGGATAGATTTATGTGTCTATTATCATTTTGATTTGTATAGAAATAGTCTTTAGTTTATTTATTTTGTATTTTTAAAGGTACAATTTTTTATAAATATTATAATTTAAAAAAAAAAACACAATATATGATATATAGATCTTATTTACTTATAAAAAGTTAAATAATTTTATATAAAATATATATATTATTATATTATTAATATAATTCTTAGTGCATAACATAAAAATACATTTATTCAAAAATAACACACCTCTAATGTATTTCTGAAATTCTTTGTATAGGAATTTTGTCAATGTGTGGATATGATACTTGCATATAGGGGTGGACAAAAAATTCGAACCCAACTATCAAACCGCCAAATCTAATTGAACCGAATTGAATTTTTTGTAAACCGAGCAAATTTGATTCGAATACAGATACTGCATGTTTAATATTTGTTAAATTTGGTTCAATTTCGATTTTTAATGTTTTTTTGGTTCGGTTAATATTTCTACTCTCTTCATCCCACAAATGATACATTTTGTTTGAGCACGTGAATTTAGGTAGTAGATATTAGTTATTTAGACAGTGAAAATTAATTATTTAATGATGGTATGCAATTAAAGTATTTTATATAACTAAAAGAAATTTAAAATAGTTTTGGAATATTTTTAATATTATATCTTCATAAAATATATAAAATATGAATAGCATTTTCTAAAAAAATAAAATATTATATAATACAAATAAAAAAATTTATTTATTTATTTATCGTTACCATAAATTAGTTTTATAAAAAAAATAAAAAAATTTAAATGGAGATAAAAATATTTTTTAATTAAGGTAAAAATAGAAATAAAGGGTTTTAAGTGAGTCTTACGTGTAAAATGTTAAAAATTTAATTAAATTGATTTATATTTATTAAATGTGTTTAAAATTGATAAATTTACTAAAATAAAAATGGTCATGTTTTGTGAGAAAGATGAAAAATGAAGAAGAGTCATACATGGCAACACCGAGGAGGTACAATATATTATTTTTTAAAATGTATTTATATAAATTAAATTATTATTATTATTATTCAATTCCAATTCAGTTGTTGTCATAAAAAAATCACCACAATGGCTTAATTGAAAAAGTATGTCTTAATTGATTTATTCGAAGGATTCTCGGCTTCCTCAAGAAAGGATCTGTGCTATCTCCGATGATCTTATGAATAACGCAGCAAGAAGGCAAAAATTCGAATCGATAAGGTAAGATAAATGCTAGAAATTAAATGAAGAAAGACTGAAATATTATTAAAAATTGCAAATAAATAAATAAATAAAGTTGTAAAGTGTTAAAAAAACTGGAAGAAAGTTACTGTTGAAAGAAAAATAATGCATGAAATGATGATGAATCTTGTTCCCATTTTTGAAAGGTCGTTTTTATTCCCCTGAATGTCGATCCATAATCTGGATAAGATATTTCTTCTTTTGATTATTTTCTATCTATTTTGAACTTTCCACCGAAATCTCAATTTTCTTTCTACCAAACAACCTCCATGTTGATCTTATCCACTCCATGAATTACTCCTACGAGACGTCTTGAGCTCAAGCGGGTCGGATCATTAAGCCAGACAAGCTGCTGGGTTGCGGATTGCTTGCTTTGGCCTGTTTCATATTTGACATTTCTTCTTCTGTTTAAACTTTTTCCACAAGTATCTAATATTTTTCCTACAAAACAATTCTCCATACGTCACTTTCCTAATCGAATCCACACTTGAACCTGCTCTTATGAGCTGCTGTAAGATTGGGCTTACTCGACGAAATGAAAAGATCTTTTTTATCTTAAGTCTTTGATTGCAAAATCTTTTTTGGGTAGCGGGTGATTTAGACCTTTTCTTTTTGATGGATTACACCAGCAAACCCTAAAATCTTTTCACTCATCCTCCGGTGCATAACTACAGTTTCATCCACCCTCCCCGTCCGGCTGCACCGCGTGCAACAACATTGTTCCTAACGGGTTAAGTAGGGTGATTGATTTTGGGTCATTAATTTTTTCTTTTTCGCTGAATTTTTAATTTGAACTTTTATGTACTCTCACCGTCTTATAAAAATGATATTATTTATATTTTATTTTGTCTCGTAACAAATGATACCTTTCGATATTTAGTAAAATTTAATAATTTAATACATGTTTAACATAATACATAACAAATCATACTAGAATGCATATGATCTCCGCATAACTCATTTATTTTTATATCTCTCATCAATAAACAAATATAATTATTTATATTTAAAATTTTCATCTTTTATAAAATTAGATTATATTAATTATAAATAAATATATATATTATTTATTTGTATTTTATAAAATTTTATTCTCTACAAAATAATATTCTTATTGCATATATTTTACTGCAATATTATTTTTAAAATATTTAAATAAATATTTTTTTTAAAAAAAAAAATAATAATGTATATTATTTTTTATTTTTGAATTACTAACAATACCTCTTAAATAAAAATAATATCATAACATACAATAATTAACTAATTAACTAATTAACATTATCACCTTAAAAGTTGTCTCCCTAATCAAAGTACTCCCTCCATCGTGCAAATGTGTGTTCATTTAACCGAGCACGAGTTTTAATAAAAGTGAATAATAATTGTTAATTTTTCTTTTTATAGTAAAAAAAGTACAAAAGTTGAATGATTTTTTACTTGAAAATGAAATGAAAATATTTTCCGATAACAACCGAAAAAGAAAAGTGACCATAGATTTGAATAACGGAGAGAGTATCATTTAAAATAAAACAGAAATAATATGTAATAAAAAAATAATACTACTTTCGTGCGGCTCTAAGGGTCATATTTACTTTTTGTGTGATATTTGAATATTAATTATTTTATCAAAATGCAATATAAATTAAGGAGAAATGACAAAAATGTATTTACTAGTGTATTATAATACTAATACAATAACATTTGTACAAAAAATTATACAAATATAAATATATTTTTATATTAAATACAATAAACCAAATGGTAAATATAAATGAAGAAAGTATTTTATAATAAATTATTGATTATATAAATATATATATATTAATGGTGCCACCAAAAGTTTTTAAATGAGACAATTTGAATGTGACAAATTTTAGTACCAATAAATATTCATCACTCCACTCACATAATATGCATATTTATATTCTAAATTGTCCAAGTATAAAATAATCTTTTTATATATATATATGAATTCAATTTTTTTTATAAATATTCTATTTTACTATCACATCTTACTTTTAAATAAAAAAAAATAGACAAAATTATATTTATAGTATTTTTAATTATCAATTACAATTAAAATATTATTATTTTTTAAATTTGTGTCAAAAGCAAATATATATTTTCTAACAAGAAGAAGAATGTATAAATTAATTTTCAAAAGTATATAAAAATATTTTTAATAAATAAACAAAAACAAATCTAAATTAATACAAGTCATATGAATTTTTACACTACTCTTCCCTCCGTCCCGCGTAAATTTAATTAAAATAAAAAAATTATAAATTATGAATTTTAAAATATGATTAAAGTGTATAACTATATTTTTTAAAAAAAAAATGACAAAGACGAAAATAAAAAAAGTTGATAAATTAAGTAGGACGAAAGGAATATAAACTATTTTTATATAAATTTTATTTAAAGTAAAAAAACAATAGGATGTGTTTCTTTTGCCAATATATTCCAAACGTTATTATTTGAACTTTGCATTTTTTGAAAAAAAAAATATTTCTTTTTATAAAATATTATTTTAATATCAAATTCAAACTCACTCAAAAAAAACATATCAATACTTTTTCGATCACTAAAATTATGTAGTTTTTTTTTTTTTTTGTTGATGTTTCTCTTCTATACATAATAGGGTTTATTCATTTTGTGTTTTTTTTTTTTTTCTATATAAATGTATTTTTTATACTCGGTATAGGAAATTGTAGTTATAATATAAAATAATACTTTGTATTGAATTGTTAATTATTTAAATAAATATATTATATATTATGTTAAGGTGCGTTCGGGTTTGAACTCATGACAACAAGTTTATCACGCAAGACCAAGTCATCCCCACAGGACAAAAATAACAATTACTTTCTCTATGTCCCACATAATTTGTCTCTATCTTTTATTTTCGTCTGTCTCACATAATTTGTTATTTTATTTTTTGGAAATATGATTATCCCCTTTAATTATATTTTAAATTTTAAATTTTATAATTTTTTATGTTAATTAAAATATTTATTTATCTTAATCTTAATATATAATTATTTTTACTAAATAATAATTATTTTTACTAATACACTTCTTAATTACCTACTAATTATATTTTACCTAAATTTCAGTATCTACAGTAATAGATTCAAAATATATGGGACAGAGGAAATATTTAATAATAATTATTTTTTAATTGTATTTATAATTGATAATTTATTTTATTAATAATTTAGATATACTATATTTTATGATATTTAAATAATAATAAAAATCATATATATTAAATAATAGTAAAATAAATAAATAAATAAATAAAATTTAAATCTTAAAATATAATTGTAAAAAAATATATTTAATTAACACATTGTACTCTCTTAATTTATTTAAAAAAGAAAAAAAATAAAAATTAAAGAATATTTTATTTACACAAAACAATAAATATTTCAGAACAACAATAGTAGCCATGACTATAATCCATTTATCTCAATAGTTTATAAAATTATATTCTATTTCTCATATGTATCTATTAGTTCGGTTTTATTTATGGAATTTTAAAAAATATTATTATTATATTAAAATACAGTAGAAGTTAATTTTAAAAAAAATTAAATTACCGTACAATTACAGAAAAGAAATAAATAAATAACGAACAAAATAAGAAATAAACAAATTGTTAACGGACTGAACAAAATATTTTAAAAGATGTTTATAATACGAACACGTCGTTAAGTATTTATATATATATTTCAATTTTGTTCTAGAAATTATTTGCTACAGTAGAGCTCCAATGGCGTTGGAAGCTTATGCTTCGCAAGCCTCCGATTCGATTCACACGGATGTTCTCTCAGAAGCACGATTGGCTTGCTACAAGGTATTATTCATTCGTATCGCTGGATTTATATGGCGCATGGTTGTGGATGCTGAATTTATTTAGTTTTAAAAAAAAATTCTTTCCGGAAGATGAGGATTTATTTTAAGTTTGATCAAACTGACAAATGATTGAATGCTTGGTTTCTGAAAGGCGCGGGACGCGTTTTATGCTTGTATAGAGAAAGAATCGAACAAGAAGCCGACGGAAGTTGCCTCTGTCGGGCTACTCTACCCTGTCGAATGCAAGAAAGCAAGGGAGGCATACGAGAAGCAGTGCAGATCTACTTGGGTAATTTTTGTAATTTTTCAGTCATATGCGTAATTTTGAATTTACTTTGGCCTTAGGTTTGAGTTTTGGAGAATTTTATGGATGTAGGTTAAGCATTTTGATAGGCAGTATTGTGCCAGGAGGAAGGTTCGAAGGCTGTTGGATGATAACTAGTCGAGGAGAGGTCTGTTGTCAGCTACGCAGCGTTAGGCATTTAAACTCCCTAGTTGATATTAATATTGATGTTGATGTTCAATTGGCTTCATTTGATAGAGTGTTTGAATCTCATGATTGTCTGAGCTATCTTGGATATTATCAGATTGACAAAATGATGAATAACTGCTGTGAATTACATATGTTTCTGGCGCAATCATTTCGGTATTCTATCAATGCATTGTGCTATTTGGCTGGAAATGACAATTTTAAACTGCCTGATTGATATTACGTATATTTCTATTTAATTGGCTTTGTGTGATATAGATTGTTTGAATCTCGTGATCCTAGGAGCTATTTTGATGGATGGTTCTTGTGTTGGGGACAGGTCATTTTGAAAAATGGTGAATAGTTCTGTGAATTGCATGTATTTACGACAATCATAGCAGTATTCTGTCTATACATTTCGTATTCAGCGTCCGGTTTTGATAAACGAATTACAGTAATGGATTTATTAGTTGCACTGCTAGCCTGGTGTGATTTCATATTGTTGACTGCCATGTTTGTATGTAGTTTTGGAAAGTTTTAGAATGTTTATATGTTGTTGCTTTGAACAGATATTTGATATGATAAAAAGGATTATTGGGTGGTGCCGTATTATGTGAATAAAGTTTGGTCATTAGATTTAAGATGTATGATATGGAGTTTTGTTAGTTTTGTATATTTATAGTTGGTAATGGTTGAATATATTGAGGGCGTTTTTACTGAGTTTGGATCATATGCTGATGTGTTAATCAATTCAGCATATGTTGAATTAATCTTAGCCATTACATTATCTTAATTACATAAGAATTTAATTAACTTAGATTATTAAGGGTGGTGATTAAATTTCAGCAATGCTGAATTAGGAATTTCAGCATGCTATCCAAGTTGGTTCTTACTTGTGTTTTGGATTATATGCGCGTTTTGTGCTTGTTTCGGATTTGAATTCTTTTGCATAGGAACAAGTGTTGGATGTGATTATTTTAATGGAAAACAGATTTTTGCATAGGAACAAGTGTTGGATGTGATTATTTTAATGGAAAACAGATTTTGAACGTGATCTTTTTGGACAAGAAACAAAATATTACATTGTAAATTAGATAGAGTGCACAAATGGGAACAAAAAACACAAATGAACACTATAAGCATCTCTAAGACTATATAAATGTTTTGAAAAGCTATATTTGGTGAATTATGAGGTTTGGATTTTCATTTCAAGCATGGTATATATAGGTAACAAACTGTGTAGTTTCTTTTTAGAACACCCATTTTCAAACAAACAATGAAGTCAATATACATAAAGAGAGATGTATGACTACCTTTCTATGACGAAAATTGGAGATCTTCATGACAAAAATTTGTTTCATTGTAGAGAAATTTATGACCGATAGAGCTAGCAATCATGAACCATAAAAACAATGTTTATATATGTTTGAATCATTCACTTGTTCCATCTTTCCCCATCCAAGCTTTTGCCTTTTTACGACATGGTTTTCATGTGCAAAGTTTCGAGTTTCAATGTTACTCTTAATCTTCATGCCTCTAAAAAGATAATTACTTAGGTTAACGGATGAAATATTACTTGGAAATTGGTTAGAAGATCGATGAATAGGGACGACCTTCGAGGATTGGATGTCTTAGTGTCTCTGACTTTTGATCTATGAAACAAAGTACTGAAATTTTTTTTTCAAGCCTTGTTAATCCTTCTGGCTATCCTTTTAGCTGCCAGAAGTTTTTGGTTCTCGGTCAACTATTGTGGTGCCCGCATCAAAGTCTTTGGGAATGAATTCCAAGAATTTTTCTCACAAATCAATTTTAAAGTAATATTTCATTCATCAACTTAGTAATTACTTTGTTTAAAGACATGAATTTTAAGAGCAACATTGCAGCTCAAAACCTTGCATACGAAAATCATACTGTAGAACAAGCTCGAAATAGGGAAGAGGAGATAGGTAAATAGTTAAGATATACATAAGAAATGTTTTTATTGTTCCTGATTGTTGGCTTTACCTGCGATGTTCATAATCTTCTCTACAAATTCTATTGGTGAATGAAAATTCATATATCCCTCATAAAACTATATATGTAACAGTCAGGATCTCTAATTTTCGCCACAAAAGCTAGTCATAGATTTATATATGTATATATATATATACACTTTATTGTTTGTCTGAAGATGTGTGTTGGGGAAAAAAGCTACACTGTTTTTATGGCCTCAAATATCTATAAGACAAATTTTTGTTTGAAAGCAATGGACAGCCTTCTACTGAGGCTTATCACCGTAATAAAAATTGATTAAGGTGGACGAGCCTTAAGCTTAGGAATTTTAGCCATCACCTCTTCCTTTAGTTCAGTTGAGTTGTTAATTTTAACGAGACATGTCATTTGTAAGGATTTCCGGTGTTTTGGACCTTGTCAGTGCAAATTTACACTTCTTCTGCATCACTCAAGTAATAATCCATTTTGTATAACTAAGTTTCCAGAGTATAAATGTGCATATCTAAGAGGGTGAGAACGATTTGATGACAAAGGCATATATATTATATTCAATAGGAACTTTCTTATCATTTCGGCCATGAAAACAAACTGTGTAGCTTTTTCCAAACACAGATCTTCAAACAGAAAATGGAGTCAGTGTATATATATATGTATATATAGATAGATAGATGTATGACTACCTTTCTGTAGAGAAAATAGGAGATTTCCTATTGTTACATGTTTAGTTTTATTTGGCAGATATGAATTTTGATATAGTAAGAATCTATAGAGAAAATTATGGTCATCATTAGTAGAACCATAAAAATATCTTAGCGGTTCACCTATCTTATCTTCCCTCCTTAGGGCTTCTGCCTTCTAACGGTATGGTTTTCATGTGCAAAGTTCCGAATATCAGTGTTGCTTTACATTCATGCCTCTGAACAAAGTATTTACTTAAGTTAATGCAAAAGATGAGTTATTATTTTCTTGTGAGGCGTGGATGTTAAGAACAGCATTGAAGCTTAAAAGCACTTGAAAATCATGCTGTAAAAAGGGTCTAGTTGAATGGTCAAGACATACATAAGCATTGTTTTTATGTTTCCTGATTATTGCCTCTTGCTAATGATGGTGTCACAATCTTCTTTCTTACAATGAATAAAATTTCATACCATCCTCAAAAAAGGAGAGATCTCGAATTTTTGCCACGGAAACTTCATTGTTTGTTTGAAGGTGTGTGTTCGGAAAAGCTACAATGTTTATTTTCATGGCCAAATGATGTGAAAGTTCCAATTAAATATAAGAATTATGTCTTTGTCATTCATCCAATTGTTCTCTCTCTCTCAAGTATAGCTTCTACATTCTACACCTTTTAGTTGTTATCCTTGACAAGCTTAGTTGTACTAATACTCAATGGATTGTTACTTGAGTGATGCTCTGAGGAAGCGTTTGTGCCGACAAGGCCAAAACACCGGAATTCCTTATGTCGCAAAGGGCACATCCTGTTAAAGTTAAAAGCTCAATTGAACCGGAACCAAAAAAAAAACTGATGCTAATTTAATTCCCAAGTTTAAGGCTCGTCCAATAGACAAGAAGATAATCGATCTTTTTTACCGAGAAGCCTCAATTCAAGGATTTCCATTGTTTTCTTAACGAAAGTTCGGCTTCTAGATATTCGAAGTCATCCCATTGCCAAGAACGGCGCCTTAGCCGCCAAGGTTCAAGGTAAACAGCATCACCGGATAGTGTTGAACATAAACATGATGTGCACGTACTTTTTAGCTATTTATTTAGATGGTGATATATAAGTCCGTGGTTTTATGGTCAGGAATTTGACTTGGAAACATCCTCTTTAGCATCGCCATCAGAAGGTACTGTTCAGTATATTGTTAGAGATTTTCAAATGCTCAACAGCACCATTGTTGTCTAGTTCTGGTTATAGAGAGGGTTTCTGCTTAACATATTTGAATCGTTGCTTTGCAGAGTTCCGAGTGGAAGCGCTGTCCGGGTCCGGGCGCGTTCTACCGAGGTCAAGAGTTGTGAGGAACTCCAAAATGTACCACACAATATTTAAATTTAAAGCAAGACCATTGAATAAGAAAGTAAGTTGTCATCCAAATTGCCAGCCCTCGACTTTAATGGTATTTCTAAGTTCAAGATCGATCTGCTAGCTATGTTCTTTTGGGTGAACTATGAATTTTGAATCATACAAGTTAGGATCATAGCCTTGATTTGATTGATTCTCAATTTAGCTCATTATTTATATTATTGGATCTGTTAAATTGGTTTTTGTGTTTTTAGTGCATTACTATATCATCACTTCGAGTATAGGTGTGCTCATTTTATATGTATTCGCTTACTTTTGTCTTATCATGTAGAATAAGGAAAACAAAAATTTTGTGTAATAGATAGTGTGTAAGAATATAACCACAAATTTACACTTAAAAGTGGGCAATAAATTTGTAGCTGCTAAATCTAACTTTTCAAAAAATTTAAAAAATTATACTTGATGAGATATATTTGTAAGAATAGATACTAGTAACTAAGAAGTCAAGCAAATGTTTCCACCAATTCAACAACAACTAACCATTAATGATTCGACCATAAACAGCAAACCCAAACAAGCCAACACAGAAACAAACAAACAAACAAGCTCCCAAGCAAACTCTGGACGAAATCCAAATCAACACAAACAAAACAAGAAATGAGAAGGCAGAGAGAGTACCAAAACGAAAGCAGCCCAAGTCACAGACAGACAATACATAAACTTCCCGATCGCCTCACTCCCTCAGATTTCCACGCCGAATAGTTTAAAACCCGCACCATTCTCGACAACCGGCATCTTCACAACAGCATTGCCAAAGAGTCCAAAACCCGCCCCATTTTCCGCAGCTACATTCGCCCCGAAGAGCTTAAAACCCGACCCATTTTCCATCACGCCTCCACAGCCATTGACGCTACCAATACATGCCTCCACACCAAACAGCTTAAAACCGGACCCGTTTTCTACGGGTACATTCATGTCTGCAACAATAGGAGGTGCCGTCACCCCAAAGAGTCGAAAGCCCGGCCCATTTTCCGCCGGCACCTTCATGGCCCCCCCATAAGCATCTGTAGTTAAGTCCGTACCAAAGAGTTTGAAACTCGGGCGATTCTCCAGAGGTATCTCAAGACCGTTGTTGCCCGAAACAGTCGTAGATGCCGTCACACCAAATAGTTTAATGCTCGAGACACTCTCTGAAGCTGCCCCGACACCAGCAAGAGGATAATTTCCGAATAGTTTGAAATCCGGGGCCTTCATGCCCACGCTACCATTGTCCATTCTTTGGTCATTACAATTCCCGTCGCTACTCGCGCCGATTGCCGCACAGCTCCCGTTCTTGTAGGCCACGTCAATCATGCAAACATTCTTATCGCCGCACCTGTAGGAAGAAAATATGACATAATCCCGTGCCTTCAATCCCTTTTCCTTTGCAAACCCGTTCCATCCGCGGGTGAAGACGAAGCTCTGGCTGCTCTTCCAGTAGCAGTACCGGAACTTCCACGACCTCATGAAACGGTCGACGAACACAAGCTCCAGATCATCGCTGCCTCTCCTGCTCTTCCTACTGGCGCTGGAAACCACCGGGAAGTACTTCTCCGCGTATCTTTTCGGGATGACGAGCCGGTTGAGCTTCCCGACGTCGCTCGGCGTCAGCTCCTTTTGGAAGAGCTGCTTGATCGGGACCCAGGATAACAACGGGGAGCTCGGCCGGGTAGGGTGTTGAATCCCATCTTGAGCCTGCAAAAAATCGACAAACATCGCAGGGTAAGAGCCATCTCTGATCATGCCGAGGAGAGCTTGGGTGCTGAAGTGGCTCTGGAAGCTCGGCTCCTTCAGAGTGGTGGCCGTCCACGGGAAGTTGCGGTGGTTTTGTCCACTGCGGAGCCGGATGGCGGCGCTGTCATACGCCATTGCGGCTTCAGCTTCGGATTTGAAGGTTCCTAGCCAAATGCGCTGGTGGTCGGCGTATATTTGTGCGCCCCAGTGCCCATTGATTTGGCTCACCACGCCTTTGAGTTTGGAAGCTGAGACGGCCGTAGGATTGGAACTGCTTCCGGAGTCGGATGTCGAGTTTTTTGCTGTGGCGTTGTAAAAGAGGCTTCGAAAGTCCATGACCTGCCGAGGGAATAGGTGAGTTAATATGGTGGAAACAATTTTGTGTAATGGCTGATAAAATAGGATCTGAATAAGGCAGTGCCGCAATGCTTCCATGAAACTAGACCTGTCTGGAATAGGCAAAGAAACGCCGCTCGACATTATATGAAACTTCAATAAATAAACGATTGTAGATCCAAGGTGGGATCAATATAAGCCTCACCTTAATCGGCATTTTATACATGAATCATATACTAGCTTGAAGTCGGGCTTTCATTGTTTTGGTTCTAAGATACAACAATGTAATAAAAATAACTCATTTGATTACCGGTACCAAAAATAAGAGGCGATGTGATCTATATAATTAGGGAAAGCAGAACACCTCTCAACAACATATGCAAAATCTCAGATAGTTCTTTACATAGATATATACTAAGTTCCGAGGTGGGGTTGATTTCGGCTGAACGAAACAGCGTATTTAACATAGAACCATACGCAGATTTGAAGACAGGATTTCATTTCCAGTATTAACATACAACATTGTAATAAAAATGACTCGGTTGATTACACGAACCAAAAACAATAGAGCACGGGATGAAAACCACAGGCTGTAACAAGGACAAAAAGGACTGCTTGTCAACAGATGGACTTACAAATATGCAAGAAGCGAGCGCAATTCATCCAAAAAAAGACAGAGAGAAACAGGTGAAAAATAAAGAAAAGGCGATTAAATGTTTAGGAACCTCATACCCATACCAGATCAGAAATAATAGTTCACACATAACTCATAACACATAAACAAGGAAACAACAGATGCCTAATTAACATATCACATAGATACAACAACATATACACAAAACATAACAATAAATATCGAGAAACTAAGCAAAAGTAAGATCATATACCAAGTATAAAAATAATTAAGGGATCATTTGTTTATGTTTTCAATCTTGTTTTGCATCACGAAATCTACCGTAAAATATGTTTTCCATAAAAAGATTAAATCCAACGCCAATTTTCCATTCAAAGCGCTGCATCCAAAACCTATTTTTCATTGAAAAGGTCGCATCCAGGATTTATTTTCCATTCAAAAAATTTCAGATCTAAAACCTCAAGGCATCCAAAACATAAAACAAATAAACAGAGATATAAGAATAGATGAAAACACAAAATCAAAAAAACATTCCGATATATCAACTCAGAAATATGAAGGGAAAAAAGAAAACAGCATTTCATATACCTCAAAGGTTTTGACTACTTGGAGAAGAAACCTGATAGACCTCTAAAATAGCAAAACTCTCTTTCAGGATGTCTTTGTTCGAACTTACCAGGACGATTCAGGTATAATTCAAAATCAACTCTATCTCCAAAGTGAACCAAATGTAAAATTATATAGGAAATTTTTTTTATTAGTTCATCCGGCAATAAATACCACCAACAACGCATTAATTAAAAAAATTTCCATTGAGGAAGAGAAAAATGTCTATCCCCATGTATATGACGAAATGAGAAGGAATAGTTGAACGTATTAAATGTCGAATGATGTATTACTCTGACAACCTATATTTTTAAATGAAATATTCGTTCGTCTATTCCAACAAATCCAATCCGTAACTTTAATTACCGAGTGAACTCATGACCAAACATGGAAAACGCAATTACATGATTTTGAAATTAAAAATGAAGGGATTTAATCCCCACCTATGGAGTCCCGCTTAAGACATGGGACAGGTGTCATCAAATGTAGAGAGGCGTCAAATGTAGAGAGGCGTTGGGACGTCCGCTAATAAATGAAATTAAATACAGATGAGTCAGATACAACGCATCCCATGAAAATATATTTAAATTCAAATATTTTTGACGAAGCAATAAAAGCATCTGAAATTTTTGATACTCTGGATGGGTACAACTCACCTACCAAAGAATCCTTTCAAGAAAATACTATCTCCATTTTAAAATGGAAAATGGCGCAACATAAACATACACTTATATTTTTACACAAAAAAAAAAGGGGTTGAAATGGAAAATTATCACCCTTGACATAGTAAGTTGTTTCCAATAAGATGTTTTAGTATTCCAATTCAATGTAATCCATTTTTCAAAATAAGTTGTTTGTGGAATAAAAGATAAAAACACTAAGTAAGTTGAAGGATTTGGAAGAATTTACACTATTCGTACAAAAATTTCCCTCCAAAAATATCAAATCAAATACTTATTTTTCCTTTTTTATATTATACTAAAAATTATTTTTACATTCAAAACATTATCACTATTCCAATTCAAATTTTTTACTATTCGAATCCCAACTCAAAATCCAATCCCCCAAACAAACACACCCTTAATAAACCAAAACTAAAAGAAAGTGCTCGCAAGTTGGGTACTATAAACGTTCAGTGGGTGCCTATATTTTTACCCTGCTACATAGTCCTTTTAATAAACACACATGGAAGTACAAATATGCATAAATCAGCTATGTTTCCACACATGAATTTGCACAATCAGGCATTAGTATTAAGAAACTATACCAATACAACACACAATCTAGAGTAGATAAACTTTAATGCAAATTCCTTACAAATTGAGAAAAACTCTCTTGAATTTCTATCTGAAGAAACTAAAAACTAACTTGAGATGCATGATGATGCAAATATGATGGAAGCAATAAAGCAGGCACAAAATTAGGCACACAAAAGTGCACAGTAATAAAAGCCAAAGAGAGACATTATATAAGAGTCGCCCTCCATCAATCAGTTCAGGTTGGTTTGTTCTTTCTTTTTAACCTAATTCAAGACATCTTTTCCGTTTCTTTCCAAAATCTTTTCTCTCAAAAACATAGAATGAGTAGGATTACAGCATACAAAAACGAAGTTCTCAGAGGTACAAAGACTGCCAAAAATTATAATTTGATTATTTAATTATAAGATATTTTTGTTTCCAAGAGACACGGGACATTTGATTGCGAACTGCATTATATCATTTACCAGTTTTAATTTTGTTTTTCCTTGAGAGATGTATAGATGAAGTGGTTCCTATGAAGGCAAGAGGTTCAATGAAAATTCCAAGAACCTATTAGAGCATAGACAAAATAAATTGCATAATTATAATATCAACTATTCCCATTCAATAGACATATACAAGTGTATTAAAAAATTTAAGCATCGAGAAATCTTATCAAGCTACAAACAATATGCAGAAAAGATCACCACGCATGTCTAAACTATACCATGAATGAGCACATAAATCTACATAAGATCACAGACAAACAATGAAATAGTCATGGTAAGTGAAACACACACACACACATCAAAAAAACAAAAACTAAAAAAAATAATAATAATAATTATTATGATGGTCTGTTGCAGCTTTATCAAGCCAGAGTATGCACAATTATGTTAACTCTAAAGCATATTTCTAATCAATTCATAACACATTTAGAATGAATGTATGTATCATATGTTAGTATAGGTTAATTTAGCCTATAACTTAGCCTCTCATTAATTGTAATTAGCCTATTAATATAATTAGTTTTCTAGCCATTAAGTTAGCCTATAAATTAGTCTCCTTAACTGTAAATTACATATAATTTAGCATTTCATAAGGGTAATTAGCATATAGATCAGCTCTTCTTACTCCTATTTATACTTTGTATTATAATCAAAGAAGATCATCAAGTTTTGGGAATGAAGCAAATTGTCATGGTATCAGAGCTTTTGGTTCAGAATTGTCTAATATTTTCAATTTCAAAAGGTCGTCCTAGTTTTGGTTTCTTTTAATATTTAGAAATCTTTGGTATTTGTTCCTTTCGTTGGGAAATATTTTGGTATTTTTTTGGGTTTTTTGGAATTACATGTGGCTACCATAAAATCAGAGTCTGAATTTTGTTTCAAGTTTACAGGAAAGAATTATTCAACATGGGAATTCCAATTCCAGTTGTATGTTATTGGACAGTGGCTAAAGGGACATATTGATGGGACTACTCCACCATCTATTGATGCCACAAGAATGGCTCAATGGACTGTCGAGGATGCACAGGTAATGTCCTGCTTATGCTTATGTAGCTCAATCAAAAGGGAAGGGTCGAGATATGAGCAAGGTGCAATGTTATAGTTGCAAGAAATATGGACACGTCGCTGCAAATTGTAATAAGAAATTTTGCAACTATTGCAAACGGCAGGGACACATCATCAAAGACTATTCAATCCGCCCTCAAAAGCGGCACACCACTACTTTTCAAGCAACTGTTGGTAACTCCATTGATCACAAGACAAACTCAACATGGAGCCAATGATACTCAATTGAGTACTCACTCCTGAAATGGTGCAACAAATGATAATCTACATTCTGAGCCCTTGGACTTATAATGTAATTCAAAGAATTCTTTTTTTCGGCTTGGCTTTTAGATTTGGGTGCTTCAAATCACATGACAAGCTCAGCTAAGTTGCTGGAAAATATCGGTCCCTATCATGGTTCAGAATATATTCAGGTTGCTAATGGGACCAATTTATCCATCAATGGTGTCGGTGATGTTACTCCCATTTTCAAAAATGTCTTTCTTTCGTCTGAACTTTCTAATAATCTACTTTTTGTTGGGCAATTAGTTGAAAACAACTATGATGTGCACTTTTCTCGAAATGGTTGTTATGTGCAGGATCAGGTGTCTGGGACAATGATCACAAAAGGGCCTAAAGTGGGACGCATGTTTTCTCTCCATATCCCTATCCCTTGTAATGCTTCATTGGCATGTTCTATTGTTCCTAATAAAAGTAATGTGTGGCATAATCGTTTAGGACATCCTAACTCATTTGTTTTATCTCATTTGTTGAAATCTGATTTATTGGGTAAACATCTCTCTAGTCCTTCTCTTGATTGTTCAGCTTGTAAATTAGGAAAAAGTAAAGTTCTTCATTTCCCTACAGTTTCTGGTCATGCGAATAAATGCTTTAATAATTCATAGTGATGAATGGGGGATTACACCTGTTGTTTCTCATGCTCACTATAAGTATTTTGTGACTTTTATTGATGACTACAGTCGTTTTACTTGAATTTATTTTCTTCGTTCCAAATCCGAAGTCTTTTCGGTATTTCAAAATTTTGTCTCCTTTGTTGAAACTCAATTTTGTAATACTATTAAAATTCTTTGATCGGACTCCGGTGGAGAATACATGTCTAATGCATTCCAAGATTTTTTGAAAGATAAAGGGATCCTTTCACACAGTCATCACCTCTTAGATGTCACTTGTATATTGTTACTTGATTCTTCTGTTCCTGCTAGGTTTTGGGTAGAAGCTCTAACCGCTGCAGTTTACCTTATAAATAGCTTGCCATCTCATATTCTAGATTTTGAGTCTCTTTATTTCCGTCTTTATAAGCACCATCCTCGGTATGATCATCTACGTATATTTGGTTGTGTTTGTATTGTACACTTACCTCTTAATGAATGTCACAGCTCAATCTATTAAATGCGCATTTTTGGGGTATAGTACAACTCATAAAGGCTTTGTTTGTTATGATTCCTTGTCCCAAATGATTCGTATTTTTCATAATGTTGTCTTATTTGAGCATGAGTTATTCTTTCCAAATTCTGATCATTCAGTGCCAGATATTTCAACTCTTCCAGGTTTCAACAAAATAATTTTCTCTTTTTCACGGTTCAAGCCGGGATATGAATATAGTAGGCGTTTTACTCCTGAAACCCCTTCCAGATCCAAATTTGTCACCAAATCCTCCTCTAAGCTTGGCAACCGATTCTGCCTAACTTGTTTACGACGCTCTCGTAGAATTTCTTGGCCTCCTGATCGGTATGGTGATTATCATTCATCACTTAGTGCTACATTATCTGCTATTTTTGTTTCATCCTCTTACTCACAGGCAGTTAAGCATGGGTGTTGGCAAAAGGCTATGAACGACAAACTTCAGGCTCTTCAAGAGAATCACACTTGGAATATTGTTCCATGTCCACCTACTGTCAAGCCGATCGGATGTAAATGGGTATACTCAGTGAAATTACATTCCAATGGGACTTTGGAACGGTATAAAGCTCGGTTGGTTGCTCTTGGTAACCTACAAGAATATGGGGTAGACTATGAGGAGACTTATATTCCTGTGGCTAAAATGACTATTGTGTGAACAATTCTTGCAATTTCAGCTTCTTGTGGTTGGACGCTTCACCAAATTGATGTAAAAAATGTCTTCCTTCATGGTGATTTCATAGAGGATATCTACGTGAAACCTCCACCGGGCTTGTTTTCCTCTTCTTCTAAAGAAGTTTGTAAGTTGAATCGTTCCTTGTATGGCTTAAAGCAAGCCCCCGTGCATGGTTTGAGAAGTTTCGTTCCACATTACTGCAATTTCAGTTTGTGCAAAGCCAATATGACTCATCTTTGTTTCTTCATAAGACAGCTACGAGGATTGTCCTTCTTTTGATATATGTTGATGATATTGTGATCACCGGAATAGATTCTGTATTAACTTCTAAACTTCAGCAGCACCTTCATGACTCATTTCACATGAAAGATCTTAGCGCTCTTACATATTTCTTGGGGTTGGAAGTTCACTCTACTTCATCGGGTATTTTCTTATATCAACATAAGTATATTCATAATTTAATTGCTCTAGCAGGACTACAAAGGTTCTTCTGCGGTTAGTACTCCCCTAGAGATGAATGTTAAGTATTATAGGGATGAGGGGGAACTTCTTCCTGATCCGTCTTTGTATCGACAACTTGTGGGGAGCCTTAATTACTTAACTATTACTAGACCAAATATCTCATTTGCTGTCAACAAGTGAGTCAATTCACGCACTCCCCTCAACATCTGCACTTGGTTGCAGGTCGTCGCATTCTACGGTATCTCCATGGCACTTCTTATCGTGGATTATTCTTTTCCGGTAGGTCTTCTATGCGTCTTTTTGCCTATTGCGATGTTGATTGGGCTGTCTGTCTGGATACATGTCACTCAGTCACAGGTTAGTGTATGTTTCTTAGGAATGCCTTGATCTCTTGGAATAGTAAGAAACAAAATCGAGTTTCCAAATCTTTTACCGAATCCGAATATCGTGCAATGTCCGTTTGCTCTTAAATCACATGGCTTAGAAAATTGTTTAGTGAGCTTGGCTTTCTTCAATCCGTTCCCACACCTCTTCATGCAAATAGTACAAATGCCATTCAGATTGCTACCAATCCGGTCTTTCATGAGCGTACCAAACATATTGAAGTAGATTGTCATTCTATTCACGATGCTGTAAATAATGGCGCTATTTCCCTTCCTTATGTGTCCACCGCTTTACAAATTGTTGATGTATTTACGAAGTCCCTTACTCGGCAGCGACATCAGTTTCTTGTTGGCTAATTGATGTTTCTTGATCATCCAACATCTCAATTTGGGGGTGTTAGTATAGGTTAATTTAGCCTATAGATTAGCCTCTCATTAATTAATTATAAATAGATTGTCTAGCCATTAACTAAGCCTATAAATTAGTCTCATTAGTTGTAAATTACCTACTTAGCATATAGATCAGCCCTTCTTAATCCTATTTATACTTTGTATTGTAATCAAAGATCATCAAATATTGGGAATGAAACAGATTGTATCATATACCTCTCTATGTTTCTTCTTGATGAGTAAGTTCAATAACTAATCAGAAAAATATTTAGTTAGACTTTGGCATGGACACTTAGTACTTAGGCTTATCATGTTGGTTGTTGGCTTGTATTAGACTATGTAGTTTGTATCAACAGAACTACGTATGACTTGATCCCGTTCGAATACATAGGCAACCCACTTTGGGTGCAATCGTTGCTATATAGTTCTATTTTTGGGAAAAAAAAAAAAAAAAAAACTAATATTATGCATCGAAACATCACAATAACATGTGATTATATCTTTATAAGAAAATGAAAGTATAAGTAGATAGGATAGTTTAGCAATCAAATTAGTAATTAATATAAATAATTAGCGTGTATGTTACAAATAATATATAGAAATTAAATGCAGCATAAGAATATTATATTCGTTCGATTAAAATATGGTTTTTCTTTTCGTTTCTCTAGAATGTAACTCATTTTTTATTCATCCTAGTACTAACACGCACACATATGCATATAAATGTTAGTTGAGGGTGTGTAGTCAAGCGGTTGAGCCGCATGATTAAGGTTGGGTGTTCGATCCCCGTGAAGTGCGTGAATGTGTGTGTGCGTGGGTAAAAAAAAAATGTTAGCATGTAAAGATTCGTAGCTAAGCTTCAGTGTACACGATTCAAATTCCAAAAATGCAAGACTTTATTCATTCAATTTGTCAAATTAAAAACTGCTTAGTTTAAAAATAATAATAATTCCAGAACTTTGCACATTTATAAGCATACATATTCAACAATTATATAAAACATACTCCCTTCGTCTCACATACCATGTCCACGTTGCCGTTTCTGTCCGTCCCACGTACTATGTCACTTTTCTTTTTTGGAAAATGATTACACACTTTAATCTTATTTTAAACTTTTTAATTTTATTTTTTTTAATTTTAATTAAACTAATTAGTTATCTTAATCTTAATTTTTAATTATTTATATTATCGAATAATTATTTTCACTAATACATTATTAATTATCTACTAATTACACCCCTCCTAAAATACCGTGTCTGCAGTGTGGCAGACACGGTATATGGGACGGAGGGAGTATTATTCAAGGTAAAAATAATTGTTGGATGTAATCCTGTGAATGGAAGAGGTAATGTTTTAGGAGGAATTTCGTACATTGAATAGGAAAAAACAAAAATGGACATGCCCTATGTAACCTATTCATACTTTTTTCTTGCAATTCCTTATAACAATATGTATTGCAATTTTTATTTGTGAAGTTCAACAGATATTATCAGAAAATCATGAAACTGCAAATCTCTAGAAAGATGTGCTTACCTCAAACAACATTTTACTAATAATTACTTGTTTACTTTCAGATCTTTTATTAACCTCATGTTAGATTAATCAAATATTACACAATGTAAAATTAATCAAACTGCTAACAGCATAAAAATCTCAAGTGAGAGAACATAAAGCTTCATCATGGAATTTGATGTCTACGGCTAATCTCTTTGACTTATTAAATGAAGGACAAAAAAAATTTTCTTGAACAGGAGTGCATAAGGAGAATTGCACTAGTGCTTATAGATTCAATCCATCTCTAACTCAAAGCATTCACATTCGCATTAACGGTAATTGCTCCGATAAGAAATCTATCAAAAGATCCTTATTTGAAGTAAAAGTTCTGGGAATATAATACATCGATAGAATCAATATTTATCCACCCTTCCCGACATAAACAATAAAAAGTATGTCTTAAATCTGCATATGTTGTCAGCAATAAAGCCCAAAAGAGAGTTCTTCAACACACCAAAGCAGAGAAATTGTCACTCATCTTACAATTTTGAATTGTCTTAATTTAGTTCTATGTTTCGCCTTTTGCCCTTCCTGAAATGGAATAGACAGATTGAGCGCAAGATCGAAACTGCAAAATAAGGGTGTGTTTGTTTGCCTTAACTTTATTTAATTTATTACAAATTTTTTCTCCCAAAAAATATCAAATCAAATATATATTTCTTATTTTTATGTTACACTAAAAATCAATTTTACATTCAAAACATCACATCAATTTCTATTTATATCACATAAAAAACTATTCAAATTCAAAATTTTACTATTCGAATCGGTACCCAAAATCCAAACCCCCAAACAAACACACTTTTCAGTGTGCAGGATCACATTATGTCAACTTGAAATATATAACAAAGTGATAAGAGTCCAAAAAGAAAAACAGAAATTTGCAATTTTCCCACCAAAATAAATACCAAAAAATTAAAAATTAATTACTAATCAAGCTTCAAAGTGGACACTTAAATCTAGAAAAAATACATAAACACAAAATGACAGTGAAAAACAAACCTGAGGGATCAAGTTTCTGCAAAGGGAGCCAAGTGGAAGTATCTCCTGCCCAAGGAATGAGTCCCATGGAAATAACTAAAAGAAATAAAAATAATTATGAAAAGGATTAGCCACAGAAATATAAAAACAGCAGTATAATCTCAGAATAGGAAACAAAATATATCAGCAGAACAGTACCCAAAACATGCAACTTCCCTAACCTGTGTATTGAAAGTTCATGATTCTGTATGTATCTCCCCGCCAAGGATAACTTAAACCTTCCATTTCCAAAGCCATAGATTTCTCCATTAAGGTAAAATGCGTCCTAGCAATCCACAGAACCAAATTAGAAGTTAGAAATTGCGTGTTTGTTTGATTCGCTAATGAAAATTTCGATACCTAAATTCGAGATAAATTTCTCAAAAATGAACAGATATAAGAAATCCATACCTTCCAATTGATCAGACTTTTGGTCCTGTTCCTGAAAAGTTTGTCGAGTATTTGCCACAGATCTATAGAATTTAGGGTACTTGTGAATTTCTGCCCGGAGAAGAAGCCGCAGTCCGGGTCTGTTCGTCGGAGTTGCTGTATGTCGATCGGAGGAGAAGACTGCTGGAGATTTTGCCGAGCCGCAGCCGTTCGCCGCCATGTTCCGACGCCGTCGCTCGCCGATTTGAAACCGTGAATCAATTGGGTCTGGCTGACTTGATTCCAATTCGATTCATAATTCTGGGTTTTGTTTGTTTGTGTTTCGTTTTCAATTCCAAAATTTTTTGCTTATGTTTAATTGTGTTAATTTGATTGGATTTTATTCGATTATTACTTCAGTTCTAAAAAAAAAAAAAAAAAAAAAAAAAAAAAAAAAAAAAAAAAAAAAAAAAAACAATAAAACATAAATTGATAATAATAATAATAATAATAATAATATTCTATTATTTTAATTAAAATTTTATTCATTTTAATTTTAATTTTAATTTATTATTAATTTATTAAATTATAATTATTTTTACTTATACATTCATTATTACTTCATTTTTTATAATCATTACTTTTACTCAATTATTTCTTTTATTTCTCGGTCATTAAAATCATATTTATTTCAATATTTAAGTTATTTTATATATTATCTGTAAATCCAACTCTGACAGTTATTTTTACTATTTTATAAATTTACAATAATTTATTTATATATATTATTTACAATAATATATAAATAATTTATTTATTTGTACATATTTCTATATTTTTTAGTTATTTTTTAGTTATATAGTAATATTGTTATATAATATTATTTTTTAATTTTTAAATATTAATTTATATAAATTTTAATAATTAAAAATATTTAAAATAAATTAATATATATAAATTAAAAAATATATAAAAAATCTAATATAATATAAATATGTTAACAATAATATAACTTAAGAATTACTATTATTTAAGAACTTATTGGAAAAAATTAGTATTTTCACTGGCCATTTAATTTAATTTAATTTAATATAAAAATATAGAGAATTGATTAATAAAATTTAATTATATTTATAGATAAAGTATTAAATTTAAACCTTAAAATTTTGAAATTTCAAAATTTTTGGATAGTTTTTAATTTGTTTTTATTTTTTTGTTGAAAGTAATGAATTTTTGACAAAGATAATAATTTTTTATAATTGTTTTTCGTATTAAAGGTAATGAGTTTTGTTCCAATAAAAATTGTAACCAAATAAGTGATTGCAACGAATGCTCTAATATATTTGTTATTTTATATTATCTACTTAATTTTCTATATTTCACATAAAAAAATATATCTATTTTTTTTTTTCAAACTATTTTAACAACAAAAAGTAAAATCATTTATATTTCACATAAAAAAATTTATATTCAAATTATCATTTTTAACATTTTGGTCGTCTCACTCTAAAGTATCTATTTCCTATTTTATTAAAATTAATCATACACCAATATCAAATTTTTAACTTTTATCTAAATTACAAATATACCATTATACATACAATTACTTTTTTGCATAAAATTGAAGGACAAAAATGTCAAAACCTTTTACACACTTTCGTTAACTAATAAAATTTTTTTATTATATATTACTATGGAACTCCAAAGTGCCCTTTGAATCGGGATGGATGAAATATATTTTTTAAAATTATTTTTTAAAAAAAAATTATGAACAACAATAAACCCAAAAATAATGTAAGGCTGTGACTTGTGGGTTTGTTTGATTAGTTTTTCTTCTTCTTTTTTTTTTCTTTATTATTTTTTTTTTTCTTTGTTTGTTTGGTTAGTTAACTCCTTTGTTGATGTTGTTTAAAATTGATTTAAATTTGTTTTAAATAATTTTTTTAATATGACTTCGTGAAAAAAAAAAATAATATATCATATTTTTGTTATAAAATAAGATAAATAATATTTATTTCGATTTGAGATCACAATTAAATTTTTTTTTTCTTATGCATGATGTATACATGATTTTTATTAAAAATGTAAACTTTGTTCATCAAACAAAATTTTTAACATAATTCTCAATTTATATTATTAAAAAAATATTACAATATATACCTATACTCATATAGTTATATATATACATATATATTGTGTGTTTGTTTTTGAAATTGTTAAGGATTTCTACCAACTTATTAAATTTTTGTTTTTAAAAATATCAAACTAAATGCATGTTCCTTTCGTTCTCTTTTGAAATGGATCATTTAGAGTTTTGTAAATAGATTAAGAAATAATACTTTCATCGTTCATCAAATGGATCTTTTGAGATTTTGTAGTAGGTTAAGAAATGATTGTAATGCCCCGATTTCGGAATGTATAAAATAATATTATTATAGCAAATAAATATTTAACAATAGTAATGGAATCAAGAAATTAATATTTTGGGATAAATTATATTCCAATTTTGTATATTAGTTATAATTAAATAGACTGTTAAATAGATAAATATCGATAAAATTAAAAATAAATATAAATATAAATATAATATATAATACATATATATAATAAAATGTAAAGATAAGGATGATAATAATAATAACGTTAATAATAATAATAATATTATAATATATTATAATATAAAATATAATAATAATAATATAATTATAAATGTAAATACAATCTTACCTACGAAGGAAGGAGAAGGAGAACGCGAAGGAGAAGAAGAAGGAGAAAGAAAGAAAAAAAAAGAAAGAAAAAGATTTAGCCGTCCGATTCCAATTTCGACTTGGGTATGGTATTCCTTGCTATTCGTAGAGTCCGATTATAAATTTTAATACGAATTTTGATATTGGAGTATTAAATTAAAAAATTCTTCAAAAATCCATAACTGGATATTTGGCTATTTAATCGACGAATTTCTTTAGCTAATAGCCTATTCGTAGTCCTAATATTATATTCTGAGAATTTCGTACCAATCTAAGTCGAATAAAAAACGGCAGTATATTGCACCTGCCTGCTTGTTCATACCTTTGCGTATTTTTATTTAATAATCGGGCAATATAAATATTATGAGGTAGAAGGATTTTATAGCTAGAATATCATATTCTACTAAATATAAAAGTTTGGAGCCCGACGAGTTAATTATAGAAATTAGCTTTTGAATAAGCAGGTAGCTCCTGAGAATAAGCATAAAGCTCATCTGATTTGAGTAAATAATGGGACAGGTGTACGTTGGAGGAGATTTGGGTGAAGTTATAAAAATCCAGAAAGTATCGGTAGGAGGTAAGCAGTAGGGAATTAAATCTAATTTTAAGAAATTAGGTATTTATGTTGCATGTGATTCTGATTCTGATATTGATATGATATTATGTGGAATCATTTGGTCAGTGCATCTATATATGTATATATGTGTGTGTATATGCATGTGTGAAACTTCGTTTTACGATATTTGATATACGTATTTGATCGTGTTGGTGAATTTATAAAAAGGAGGATAGGTGGGCCGTCTCACCAGCCCTTTTCATTAAATTCACTTATTGACATGCTGCACACATCGCACGATTTATCGGATATGTTTTATGGATCTATCGTTTAGTCGCCGTGTGCGGTAGTGCTAGGCGAGGGCATCATCTGGGGTTAGGATATTCGACCCCGATGTACCGTAACACTTTGGCGATAGTGGACGATAGTAGTCGGACAACTGGGTGACTTAGTCGCACGGTCATTCAGGGATTAGACCCATTGCAGTTGAGACGTATTTGGTCTAATCATTCGTGTTCGGTGTTGTTCCACTCATTGGAGTAGCTACTAGTGAGGTCTACCGGTAGTTTAGGATCATATGCCAAACTCCAAACGCGATCCCGTTAGGGCGTGCGAGGAGGAGTAGAGTTTCCGGGTTTCCTTCGGGTGATTCCAGGTTGCACGGATTCTACTACGTTACACGGGGTAGGGCTAGACAGGAGGGTCCTATCTTCGCTATCACAGACTATGGGGTGTCTTGTGGTTAATGGCGACAACGCTCGACTATCCATGTATTGATTGCGGGAGTCGTATGGTGGATATATGGAAGTGACCGTGTGACCGTTATATTATTATGGGTTTACCAGGTCCTTCCTTGAGCCGAGGATTTTCCGGCTATTTATTGATGATAGTCTAGTGAGCCGTTATTATGGAGCCGAGGTTATTCCGGCTGCTCACTTTGACATATGTATATGGGTATATGTGCATGAGTTGTCGATTTTGACATTATTGTTACATTATTTCAGTATGGGCATGGCATGGCATTTATTTTGCAAATGACGGAAATTAAACTCTATTTTCGAGCATGACATGGCATATTTTATGTTAGTTCTTAAAATGGATTTAATTCTAGACTGCTTTTAAGAAAAATATTTGATTCAGGTACGCATGGCACCTCCGGGACAGGGGACGTCTCAGGAGATAGAAAGACGGGTTGAATGAGTGAACTGCATCTGATGTATTATATATAAATTCTAACTAGAAAAACCTCCCGTTTTGGGAGTATGTTTTTGTAAATATTTATAAACTATTTTTTTGGGAATAATAAAATGCTTATATAATTAATTTTAGCCTTAACACTGTGTTGTGGGGCCCGAAGTAGGAGGTGACGACCTCATGATGCAGTGTGGCGGTAGCATTTCCAGTATGAGCCAACTGGGGGTGTTACAAGTTGGTATCAGAGCCTAGGTTTGATAGATTTTGGCTCTTTGAATTAAAAAGGTTTTGAAAATAATAATGATATTGAATTGGTTTGGTGAGGTTTGGGTTTTGCGGGTGCATTCATGTCAATGTGATTTATCTTTTATTGTTATGCTTGGTTTAGCTGTGTGCTGAATTGATATTGAATTAGGAAAAATTGGGGGCAGTATGTCGAATTCTCGAGGTGGTGGTGTACGTAGGGCTATTCAAGGCCCAGAGTTTGATCCTTCGTCTGATGAGTCACAGTATCATGTGCCAGCGCCTGTACCAACAGAGGCACCTAGTCAGGATTTCTTTCGGCAGTTTATGGCCGCGATGATGCCTCAACAGAGGAGTTTCATTGATGCTGTGATGCGGCATAACCCACCAACATATTCTGGTTCAGTGGAGCCAGGAGTCCTTGAGTTTTGGGTTGAAAAGATGGAAAAGATATTTCGTGTTGTTCAGGTTCCGCCAGATCAACGAGTTAATATTGGAGCCTATTTCTTGGAAGGCCGAGCAAATCGGTGGTGGTTAGGTGAAGAAGCTGCAGGTGTAGACCAAGTGGATATGACTTGGGATGAATTTAAAGCAAAGTTAAAGGCTAGGTTTATACCGTCGCATATTCGAAAAGCGAAGAAGCAAGAATTGCTGGACTTAAAGCAGGGCTCGATGTCAGTTGAGGATTATTTTGTGAAGTTTAATGAGTTGGAGATGTATGTTCCTGACTACTTTTCCTGTGAGCGAGACAGAATTGACCATTTTGTAGACGGGTTGCAACACAGAATTCAAGAAGCTTTAGCGGTGTTGGATATCAGTTCTTTGTATGAGGCTTACGAGCGTGCTGCCCGATTTTATCAGAAGCAGGAAGTCAGACAAAAGGAGAGTGAGAAGGAAATAGGTTATCAACATCAGGTTCGAGATAAGGGAAAAGCTAAAGTGGAGGATGAACCCAAGGGTAAAAAGAAATGGTGGCAAATGTTTAGGTCTGGCCCATCGTATAAAGGGATTTCGATTAAAGAACCGAGTCAAGAGAGGTTTCAACAATCGGGGGTTGTTTGTCGACGTTGTGGAACAAGTCATTCAGGTACCTGTTGTGATAAAGTTCCATTAACATGTTTTAAGTGTGGTGGTAGTGGTCATATTTCCAGGCTATGCCCAAGTGTGGCGGAGTGATAAGAACCCTACATCAGATAGTACCCTTGAGCTCCCCATGGTTAAGTTGTCATTTCATGAATCGCTGGACAATGAATATATTTACCAAGTATGTCACTTTGGATGTAAGCTCCAGTTTTATTTGTGAAAAAGAAGGATGGAAGTTTGAGGTTATGTATTGACTACCGTGGACTGAACAAAGTCACGGTGAAGAACAAATATCCTCTTCCGAGGATTGATGATCTATTTGATCAACTGAGAGGTGCAACTATATTCTCAAAGATTGACTTGAGATCTGGATATCATCAGCTAAGGATTGCAGAGCATGACATTCCGAAGACAGCTTTTCGAACTAGATACGGGCATTATGAATTCACGGTTATGTCCTTTGGGTTGACTAACGCCCCGGCTGCGTTTATGGAGTTGATGAATAGAATTTTTCAACCATACCTCGATCAGTTTGTGGTGGTATTTATTGACGATATCTTGGTCTATTCCCCAGATAAAAAGACGCATGCAAAACATTTGCATGTAATATTAAACATATTGCGTGCAAGAAAGTTATATGCCAAGTTATCCAAATGCGAGTTTTGGTTGAAGGAGGTTGCTTTCTTGGGGCATGTTGTTTCTGAAAAGGGTATCTCAGTAGATCCTTCTAAAGTGGCGGCAATCTTGGATTGGCCAAGACCTACCAATCAATCAGAAGTAAGAAGCTTTTTGGGTTTGGCAGGATATTATCGGCGATTCGTTCTTGATTTTTCGAAGATTGCAAAACCATTAACTAATTTGCTGAAAAAGGATGCAAAGATTAACTGGGATCACGAGTGTGAGTCATCCTTTTTAGAATTGAAACATCGATTAACTTCAGCGCCAATTTTGGCTTTACCAGTGGAAGGTGAGGAGTTTGAAGTGTATAGTGATGCTTCGAAGCAGGGATTGGGATGTGTCTTAATGCAGAATCAAAGAGTTATTGCTTATGCATCACGACAACTAAAACCTCACGAAGAGAATTATCCGACACACGACTTGGAAATGGCAGCAGTGGTGTTTGCTTTGAAGATTTGGAGGCACTATCTTTATGGAGCCCATTGCAGAATATTTACTGACCATCAAAGTTTGAAATATATCTTCACCCAAAAAGAATTGAATTTAAGACAAGGAAGATGGTTAAAATTGGTGAAGGATTATGATCTTGAAATTGTGTATCATGAAGGCAAAGCAAATGTTGTAGCCGATGCCTTAAGTCGAAAACCAAGGCATAACTTGGACTTCATGTCGGTTGCTGATGAACTGTGCCAAGATTTAGCGCGGATGGAAATTGAGGTACTTGGACGGGGTATGACTCGGGGATATTTGCAAATGATACAAGTTGAGCCTGAAATTTATGATCGCATTAGAGCGGCTCAAATGGAAGATAATAAAATGGTTGAGCTTGCAGTGAAAGTTCAGTACGGTCAGACTCAAAATTTTAATATTGCTCCAGATGGGAGTCTTCGATTTCACGGGAGGTGGTGTATCCCAAAGGATCGAAATGATTTGAAAGAGCAGATTATGAGTGAGGCTCATAATACACCATACTCAGTGCATCCGGGGGGAAATAAAATGTATCATGACCTACGTCAACATTTTTGGTGGAAGGGCATGAAGAAGGATGTAGCCAAATTTGTTGCACGATGTTTAAATTGTCAAAAGGTAAAAGCAGAACATCATAGACCAATGGGGTTGCTACAACCTTTAGAAGTTCCACTCTGGAAATGGGATTCTATCGCAATGGATTTTGTAACAGGACTTCCAAGGTCAAAGTCGGGAACAGATGCAATTTGGGTGATTATAGACAGATTGACCAAGTCAGCAGTGTTCATTCCAGTACGTATGACTTGGAGTATGCAGAAATTAGCCAAATTATATGTTCATTATGTGGTTAAACGACACGGTATTCCTGAGGTGATCATATCAGATCGTGATCCACGTTTTCAATCTCGATTTTGGCAAAAATTGCAGGAAGCCTTTGGTACTCAGTTGCATATGAGTACTGCATTCCATCCTATGACTGATGGTCAGTCAGAAAGAACTATCCGTATTCTGGAAGATATGCTAAGAGCTTGTGCTATGGAATTTCAAGGGAGTTGGGAAGACCACTTGGATTTAGTGGAATTTTCATATAATAATAGCCATCAAGCAAGTATCGGAATGGCTCCTTTTGAAGCTCTTTATGGTCGAAAATGCAGAACTCCTTTGAGTTGGGACGATATGAGTGATCGACTGATACTGGGTCCGGAAATGATTGAGGAATCGAAAAATAAGATTCGAATTATCAGAGAAAAGATGAAGGCAGCTCAAGATCGTCAAAAGAGTTATGCCGATAGAGCCCGACGTGAGGGTCAATTTCAAAGTGGAGATTTTGTCTTATTGAAAGTATCCCCAATGAAAGGTATTAGAAGGTTTGGGATTAAAGGAAAATTGAGTCCGCGTTATGTTGGACCTTATGAAATTGTCGATCGAGTTGGTGATTGGGCTTATCGGTTGGCACTTCCAAATTCTATGGAGCGTATTCATAATGTGTTTCATATATCTCAGCTTCGTAGGTATGTTGCAGATCCTTCTCATATTTTATCTCCAGATGAGATAGAGCTGAATGAAGATCTTTCGTATGAAGAAAAGCCTCTGTGGATCATGGACACAAAGGTCCGAACCATGAGGAATCGAGATATTCGTATGGTGAAAGTAATGTGGTCCAGACATGGAGCGGAAGAGGCCACGTGGGAAGTAGAACAAGAAATGTTCAAGGCATACCCACAATTGTTTAATTAAGTTGCCTTGTTATGTGTTTGAGTTTAGATTTCGGGGACGAAATCTTTTAAGGGGGAGTGGATTGTAATGCCCCGATTTCGGAATGTATAAAATAATATTATTATAGCAAATAAATATTTGACAATAGTAATGGAATCAAGAAATTAATATTTTGGGATAAATTATATTCCAATTTTGTATATTAGTTATAATTAAATAGACTGTTAAATAGATAAATATCGATAAAATTAAAAATAAATATAAATATAAATATAATATATAATATATAATATATAATACATATATATAATAAAATGTAAAGATAAGGATGATAATAATAATAACGTTAATAATAATAATAATATTATAATATATTATAATATAAAATATAATAATAATAATATAATTATAAATGTAAATACAATCTTACCTACGAAGGAAGGAGAAGGAGAACGCGAAGGAGAAGAAGAAGGAGAAAGAAAGAAAAAAAAAGAAAGAAAAAGATTTAGCCGTCCGATTCCAATTCCGACTTGGGTATGGTATTCCTTGCTATTCGTAGAGTCCGATTATAAATTTTAATACGAATTTTGATATTGGAGTATTAAATTAAAAAATTCTTCAAAAATCCATAACTGGATATTTGGCTATTTAATCGACGAATTTCTTTAGCTAATAGCCTATTCGTAGTCCTAGTATTATATTCTGAGAATTTCGTACCAATCCAAGTCGAATAAAAAACGGCAGTATATCGCACCTGCCTGCTTGTTCATACCTTTGCGTATTTTTATTTAATAATCGGGCAATATAAATATTATGAGGTAGAAGGATTTTATAGCTAGAATATCATATTCTACTAAATATAAAAGTTTGGAGCCCGACGAGTTAATTATAGAAATTAGCTTTTGAATAAGCAGGTAGCTCCTGAGAATAAGCATAAAGCTCATCTGATTTGAGTAAATAATGGGACAGGTGTACGTTGGAGGAGATTTGGGTGAAGTTATAAAAATCCAGAAAGTATCGGTAGGAGGTAAGCAGTAGGGAATTAAATCTAATTTTAAGAAATTAGGTATTTATGTTGCATGTGATTCTGATTCTGATATTGATATGATATTATGTGGAATCATTTGGTCAGTGCATCTATATATGTATATATGTGTGTGTATATGCATGTGTGAAACTTCGTTTTACGATATTTGATATACGTATTTGATCGTGTTGGTGAATTTATAAAAAGGAGGATAGGTGGGCCGTCTCACCAGCCCTTTTCATTAAATTCACTTATTGACATGCTGCACACATCGCACGATTTATCGGATATGTTTTATGGATCTATCGTTTAGTCGCCGTGTGCGGTAGTGCTAGGCGAGGGCATCATCTGGGGTTAGGATATTCGACCCCGATGTACCGTAACACTTTGGCGATAGTGGACGATAGTAGTCGGACAACTGGGTGACTTAGTCGCACGGTCATTCAGGGATTAGACCCATTGCAGTTGAGACGTATTTGGTCTAATCATTCGTGTTCGGTGTTGTTCCACTCATTGGAGTAGCTACTAGTGAGGTCTACCGGTAGTTTAGGATCATATGCCAAACTCCAAACGCGATCCCGTTAGGGCGTGCGAGGAGGAGTAGAGTTTCCGGGTTTCCTTCGGGTGATTCCAGGTTGCACGGATTCTACTACGTTACACGGGGTAGGGCTAGACAGGAGGGTCCTATCTTCGCTATCACAGACTATGGGGTGTCTTGTGGTTAATGGCGACAACGCTCGACTATCCATGTATTGAATGCGGGAGTCGTATGGTGGGTATATGGAAGTGACCGGGTGACCGTTATATTATTATGGGTTTACCAGGTCCTTCCTTGAGCCGAGGATTTTCCGGCTATTTATTGATGATAGTCTAGTGAGCCGTTATTATGGAGTCGAGGTTATTCCGGCTGCTCACTTTGACATATGTATATGGGTATATGTGCATGAGTTGTCGATTTTGACATTATTGTTACATTATTTCAGTATGGGCATGGCATGGCATTTATTTTGCAAATGACGGAAATTAAACTCTATTTTCGAGCATGACATGGCATATTTTATGTTAGTTCTTAAAATGGATTTAATTCTAGACTGCTTTTAAGAAAAATATTTGATTCAGGTACGCATGGCACCTCCGGGACAGGGGACGTCTCAGGAGATAGAAAGACGGGTTGAATGAGTGAACTGCATCTGATGTATTATATATAAATTCTAACTAGAAAAACCTCCCGTTTTGGGAGTATGTTTTTGTAAATATTTATAAACTATTTTTTTGGGAATAATAAAATGCTTATATAATTAATTTTAGCCTTAACACTGTGTTGTGGGGCCCGAAGTAGGAGGTGACGACCTCATGATGCAGTGTGGCGGTAGCATTTCCAGTATGAGCCAACTGGGGGTGTTACAAATAGTATTTTATTAATCAGTGTATAAGAGTTTTTGATAGTTTTGTCATCTGACTTTATGTATAAAGTAATTATATATGTAATGATATATTTGTAATTTAAATAAAAGTTAATAGTATTTTGTTATTAGTGTGTGATTATTTTTGTAAAATAGAAAATGAATACTTTGAAATGAGACAGAAAAAAATGGTAATAAAAATACTTTAAATTATGACAGATGGAGTAGTATTTTATTAGTTAGTAGAAGTGTGTAAGAAATTTTAACATTTTTATCCTTTGACTTTTTTATAAAATAATTATATGTGTAATGGTATTTTTGTAATTTAAATAAAAATTAAATGTATTGTGATATTAGTATACGATTACTTTTACTAAAAATGAAAAAAGTTACTTTTGAGTGAGACAAACGAAAATAGTAAAAGTAGCTCTTTGAATTAAGACAAATGAAATGTTATTTTTTATTTTATATTATACTAAAATTCAATTTTATATTTAAAAATATTTGATCAATATTTGTTTATATCAAATTAAATAATTATTCAAATTCAAAATTTATATGATCAAACTAAGGCATCAATAATGTACTTCCTTTGTCTTGGAATGATATATTGGCTATGTTTACTTGTGAAATTTTATCCTCATTTTACTATTATATTTTATTTTTTTCTTCAAAAATATAAAACTAAACACTTATTTTTTTTATTACATTATAATTTAATTTTACATTCAAAATATCACATCAGTTTACATTTATATCAAATCAAACAATTATTTCAATTCAAAATTTTACTATTTAAAACCAACCGAAAATTATAATCTTACAAGTAAATACACCCGTCTATTTGTATTGGATACAGAATTTAATGAACATTAATATTATACTAATGATAGTTAATAAAGACTATGGATAAAAATAAATAAATAATAAAAAATTGTCCTTATAAATGCCTTTTAATTTAAATGTAAAAAATAGTGATATTTCTTTAATAATAAAAAATATAAATATTTTACAGTGATAATTATTTATAAAAATAAAATTTTGTTTTAGACAGATAAAAATAAAGCATGACAATTGAATTAGAACATAATAAATACATTTAAGTAAAAATGTTTTTTATATGATATTTTTTATACATGAATTAATTAAATTTAGAAGATTTTACCTAAGAAAATATAATGGAACTGAAATCACAACTTCGATCATACGTTTATTATGTGCAAAATTTAAAGTTTTACAAAAAAATTGTTGAGTTGAAAGCATATACTTCTTTTCATTTATTTACGGTATTAGCATTGATTTTGTCTGTCACAATTATAATAGTTAAAGTTTACAGGGTTTAAAATATAGCGATCGAAATATTACAACGATCACACTGAATGTAAAAAATATTTGTAATATTTTAATATATTAGTTTGTATTCCATCCGTTCTCCCTTATTTATCCATTATTTATATTTATGTTTGTCTATCTTATTTGTCTTTTATTTTTAAAAAATATGATTATACATTTTAATTATATTTTAAATTTTATAATATCTATGATTTTTTAACTTTAATTATACTATTTAGTTATCTTAATTTGAATTTATAAATATTTTTATAATACAATAATTATTTTTACTGATACATTTCTTAATTACTTACTAATTATTCTTCATCCCATAAAATTGTTCACATTATTGTAGATACAGAAATTTATGAGGAGTATAATTAATTAGTGAATAATTATGAAATGTATTAGTAAAAATAATTATTATATAATACAAAAAAATTATAGATAAGATTAAAATAACTAAATAGTTTAATCAAAATTAAGAAAGTTATATATTATAAAATTTAAAATATAATTAAAATGTATAATACTCCTTCTGTCCCGGCTACGGTGTCACATTTACGGTAAACACATGAATTTAGGAGATGTATAATTAGTAAATAATTAAGAATGTATTAGTAAAAATAATTATTGTATAATAAAAATAATTTTAGATTAAAATAACTAATTAGTCTAACTAGACTAAAAATTTACACATTAAAAAATTTAAAATAAAATTAAAGTACCAAAAAAGAAAAGTGACATAATAAGTAGAACAGACGGAAATAGAAAGACGTACACACAATAAGTAAGTGGAACGGAGTGAGTAATTTTCAAAAAAAAGAAATAAACAAATTATGTAGGATAAATGAAAGTAGAAAAAATGAACATTTTCTGAGGAAGGACAGAGTATATTTACAATAAATCAGATAGATAAGTACTTTATTTACTGTTATCGTCTATCTCATTTCAAAGTATTTATTTTGAAAAAATTAATCACACATTGATGTCAAAGTATTTTACTTAAAGTATTTTAATTAACCAATGAAGTATTATTATTTTTTAATCTATTACAAAATCACAAGAGCTCGTGGACAGATTGAATATTATTTTAATAAATAATTTTAAATATCTTACCGAGTGTGCAATTTCAAATTCCGATAGCAGCAACCTGCATCATAAATATATATATATATATATATATACACACAAAAGGCCCAATTTATGACTCCCAAAATGAAGCCCAACAATAAACCATACGCTCCAAATTATATCAGGCTAAAATCACTTGGTCATTTTTATTTTAACTCCATCCTTTTAATATTTGAAATATATTCTTTTAAATAATTTTGATGCAATCAAATAACTCAAAGCTATTTGTTTACAATCCACTTTCAAATTTGAATTCATCTAACTAAATGAAACCTAAAATCATCTTCAACAGTTCTTTTAAATTCATTTGTCTCCTGAAAAACAGGAAAAGTAGTTCGCGTATCATGCACCCACCCAAGATCGAACCTGGGACCCAACCCTCCAAGATCGAACCTGGGACCCAACCCTCAAGCGAGAGATGTCTCACCGCTTGATCTACAAGGATTTGACATAGGCATCGGTTACGGACGCTAAATCATGCCCTAAGACTTAGTTTAGGACATTTATCCCAAACGGATTCCCGACCACAGTTTCCCATTAGAAAAAATTAAAATATAATGACATGTATATTGTAAAGATATTTTTAATATTAATAAAAAATACCGTTACAAAAAAGAAAATGAATACGGAGCGAGTATAGAAGATTAGGGCATCCGCACAATACAACACGATTCACCCCTACTTACTTTGTATCTCAAATTCAATTCCCAATCCATTATTAAGAAATCAATTTCACTTTTCTATCCATTCCACTATTCCAGACTCTACCATAATCGCATCCATCCATCCATACTACCAAAATAAACTTCACGTGACAGAGAGATACCAAAAGCACACCACCAAATAGATTCAATCATCCCATTATTTATTTATTTATTATTTTCATTCTCTATAGGTCCCGCCACCACCTATCCCCTACCCAATCCATTTATCTATCTCATGCCATGTGAAGCCATATATAACTATTATCGTTATTCTGACAAGTAGGCAAGAATTGACGTTTACCACTCACAGTTTGTTAGCATCTTCTTGTCTTCTATGCTCCACCAAATAAACCGGTGGTGGCTGAGAACACAGAATGCCCATCTCTCCGAGCCCCACCTACCTGCGAAACTTCTCAACAAATAGTAGTATATAATAGTAATAGTAATACAGCCTCCCGTCCCACTTGCAGAATTAATCGACAATAACATTAATATTAACATGCAAGAAAGAAACAGCAGCAGAATTTGTTTTAGGAAATCAAATTGGATGGGACAGACGCATTCACAATTAGGTAAAGCAAAAGAACAGACAATTCAAATAAGTATAAGCATACATACACAACTACAAGAGTTGTTCTTGTCATCTTCAAGCTGCTGGCATTGAACTGCCATGGCCGACTACTGTTGCAGTAGACTGCCACACAATGTCTTTTAAAGCTGGTCGGAGCTCCTTGCTGCAGAACTGGTTGTACTCTAAAGTATCGCCGCTTGACTTTTTAACCTCCACCACCACTAACTCCGGCGCCACTGCGAATATGTCAGCGGCTATTCCCAGCCGGCCTTTCCGGCCGCGCTCGGCTCCCTGCAGCCTCACGCAAGTCTCCCCACTCTTCTTCACGCTGAAGTTGCCCGTCTTCGCCACCTCCTCAAGCTTTGATATCACGCTGCTCGCTGGCCGGCTTGTCGCAAACCGCAGCTCCTCCTTCTCTGACCTTTTTTCTGAGAACAGTGGCGTTAGATCGAATCCTTGGGAGAGGGAGATTATGTGAAAGGCATTCATGGTTTCCTTTTCTTTGCCTTTTTCAGTGAATTCTTGTTCTTCTTTGGACCGGAGATTCTTGGGGAGTGATTTTTTGAACCAGGAGGAATCCATGACTTTAGCGATGGTGATACGTGTGGAAGGATTCGGATCAAGCATTTTGGTGATGAGACGGCGGGATTCCGGCGAGAACCACGGCGGACACTTGAAATCGCCGCGGTAGATTTTCCTGTACATGTTTACAATGTTGTCGTCCTGGAATGGTAGGTAGCCGGCGAGGAGAGCGTAGAGGATCACGCCGCAGGACCAGATGTCGGCTCTGGAGCCGTCGTAGCCTTTTTTTCCGATGACCTCCGGCGCGACGTACGCCGGGGTGCCACACGTTGTGTGCAGCAAGCCGTCCTGCCGGAGATGGTCGGAGAACGCACTGAGGCCGAAATCTGTTACTTTGAGGTTACCTTCCTCGTCGAGGAGAAGATTCTCCGGCTTCAGATCCCGGTGGTAGACGCCGCGGCTGTGGCAGAAATCGATAGCGGAGATCAGCTGCTGGAAGTAGCTCCGCGCGGCGTCCTCGCGCAGCCGACCTTTGGCAATCTTCGCGAAGAGCTCGCCGCCCCTGACGTACTCCATGGCGAAGTAGATCTTTGTCTTGCTCGCCATCACCTCGTGCAGCTCCACGATATTCGGATGGTGCATCATCTTCATCACAGAGATCTCGCGCTTCACCTGCTCCATCATCCCCACGCGAATCACCTTCTCCTTCGCAACAACCTTCATCGCCACGCTCTTACCGGACTGCAGATTCCTCGCGTGGTAAACCTTCGCGAACGTTCCGTGCCCCAACAACCGCCCGAGCTCATACTTACCGAGCAGCGCGCTGCATTTCTCCTCCGACGCCATTACAAATTCTCCGATTAATCAAACCAACTCTGCGGTAACCGAACACTTTGGGAGAAAACAAGCAGTAACTGATTTTTTTTTTCAAAAACGCAAACAGCGATAGATTCACCCGTCCTCGACGTGCTTCCGGTGACAATTCCGGCCGCCAATCACCGTTTTGCTGGCCTTTCCGCCGCCAAAGTGGGGGTTAGAAACCGGCGATCTTCTCATCTCTATGCATTCCCTGGGGGAGGTGAAATCACGGGGAGAATTTCTAGGGTTCGTACGAATGGATGCAGTCAGGCAGAACGGAATGACTGGGGTCGGGTTTCTGAGTCTCTCTCTTCTTTCTCTCTCTCCAACCTTGGGAGAATCAATATATAGCAGGTTGAGAGGGTACGACTGTCAATCTTGGCCGTTGCGGTATTTAAATCGGACGGCTGAAATTCCCCCAGCGATGAAGACGCGTGTCGAGATATGCATGGCGGAGATGCCACTACTGATTGATTATCGTTGTTATATGAATAATTGAAGGGTCCGCACGTGCCTTGCACGTGGACAACTTGGTGATTCCGTTGCTGTAAATATGTGGCATTACGTTTTCACCCTTGTGGACGGGTGGCCGCATTCCTTTTCCGTGGGCGCAGCCGCATACGGAAATAATATAATTAATTTTTATTTTTAATTATAAAATACTTGGTGTGTTTTGTTAGTAAAAAATCTTCAAATATTTTTTTCAAAATATTTATTATTTTTATATTATTCATCTTTTAATATATGTTTCACATAAAAATAAAATAAAATAAAATAAAATTATTTCAGAAAACAAATATAGTCACTTTTATATTAATTCATCAATTATCTCAAATATTGGTTGTCTTCATTTTGAATTTTTCATGTACATATTGTATAATTGTTTTTGTTAGTTATAAAAAAAATAATTATTTAATTTTATATTTTTTGAAAAAAAAATATGGAGTGAATAATATAAATTGGGTCAAATCTATCCAACGAACACACTATTAATTCGTGTAGTATGATTCATTCAAAAAAAATTATTTATATATCTCCTCAATAAATAAATATTTTTATATATATTTAAAAAAATTCATTTTTTTATAAAGCTAATTTAAATTAAATTATAAATAAATAAATAGATATTTTTTATTTATATTATACAAAATGTTATTATTTACAAAATATTTAAAATACATATAGTATTAAAATATTTAAACATATATTGTAAATTTTTTAAATAATACTATTCCATATTTTTTTAGATACCAACAAAATTATTCATATAAATAATTATAAAATATTATCACAATTTATTATTAATAATTTACTAATTTCTACTATCTAAACAAATTGTTCATCTATTTCGGAAAAGGAGAGAACATTAAATAAACAAAGTCATTTATTTTAAAGTATATTTATTTATATAATTCATATAATTAAATGTTTTAACCGTGTTTGTGTTCTCTGAATACAAAAATACATATTTCTCAAAAATATATTTTCTAAAAAAATTAATATGTTATGTCCATTTATTATTTTTATATTATTTATACAACTTTCTATATGTCACGTAAATATATATACATATATATCTTCAACCAATTTTTACTAAACAAACAATCCCTGTATTTATTTTTTTATTTTATTTGATTCAATAGCTTTTTTTATATAATATTGAAAGTAAATTATAAAAATTAATAAATCATCATCTTTGTTTGATTTTGATTTAAAATAAATTATTTAAAATTTAATTTAAATAATATTATAATATAAATTCTATGAAAAATATATGGCGGCGAGTTTATTAAAAAAAATTATATAAATACATGAATAATTTGTGTTTTATTTAATATTCTCTCATCCAAATTTATTTTTATCATAAAAATGAAATATTTATATTCTTATCTATTCTTTTTAAAATTCATGTCGATCAAATAAATATAAATTTACATGAAAGATATAATATTATTTAAAATCTTTTTGTGTTATATTTTGTCCTCTTCCTTCAAAACTAACGTCAGATATTGCGCCTAAGTATTATACAAATAAAAGAATTGAAATATTATACATATCATTATTGAAATAAAATAAATAAATAATTGATTCATTATTCAATTTACAAAATAAAAATCGAAGACGAACTGTTATCTAATTTCTACCTAAAATATTTCACTCATTTATATACGTAATACTTGAATAACTAGGCGATATTTACAAGTTTTGGATGTAAATGATATTTTGTTCATACTTTAATAATATAAAAATGAATTTTATATAATAAATAAAACACATAAGATTGTATATATTTATAATAAAAACACATGTAGATATTATGTAATTTACCATATATATATGTTTGTTTTGAATTTTTATTTTGAAGATATTTTTTTTTTATGTGAAATATGAAAAAATATGTTGATAATGTAAAAAGATAATATTCGTCCGGTCTCACCCTTGATTCATTTTTTTTTTTATTCGTTTCACAAAAGATAATTTATTTTTATTTTTAATAAATTTATTCATTTTAAATATTCTTAACAAATATTAATCAATATAATTAAAATTTTAAATTTTTTTACACGTAGGGCTCACTCAAAACTTTTTTATTTTTATTTATCTTCTCAATAAACAAATATTTTTATCTATATTTAAAACTTTTCATTTTTTATAAAATTAGTTTTAAGTTAATTATAAATAAATATATAATACTCCCTCCGTCCCGGTGCAAGGTTGCCGTTTACTTTTTGCACGTAGATTTTTGAATATTAGTATTATAATGGGTTGTAGTGAAAATGACGAAAATGCCCCTATTAGTATTGTGTAATATAAAAGTAATGGCATTTGTGTAATATAGTATAAGTTGGAAGGGTATTTATTATGTCAGGTAGATAGTACAATTACTAAATTAGGAAATAGTAACCTTGTTTTGGGACGGACGAAAATGAAAAATGACAACCTTTTAATAGGACGGAGGGAGTATATAAAATTTTATTATTTACAAAATAACATTCATATTGTATATATTTTATTGACATAAAATTCTAAAATATTTAAAATACCAACAATACTAATCATATAAAAATAATAATAAAATAATATTATAATTTATTATTAATAACTTACTAATTTACACTAACTAAAATACATTGCTCCTACCAAAAAGACTCATCTTTGCCGAAAATAATATCTTATGAAATTATTGATTTTTATAAATTAATTAAAATTATAGAAGAGTATTATATATATATCTTCTGCTATCATATATCAACTAAAAAAATATATATGAAAAAAAAAAATTGTTGGAAAAAAGCTGTTTATTAAAATTTGTATAGATGAAAAAAATTATTTTAGTTTTATACTCCCTCCATTTCACATACGGTGTCTCCTTTATTGTAGATACGAGAATTTAGGAGGGATATAATTAATAGATAATTAAATATATATTAGTGAAAATAATTATTATTTAATAAAAAATAATTTTAAATTAAGATTTAGATAACTAATTAGTATAATTAAAATTTTAAAAATTATTTAAATTTTTTTAAATAATATTAAAGTATACAATATTTTTCTAAATAAATAAAAAAAAAATTAGAGAATAAATGAGAAAGACCTAAGTGAAAAACAGAGTAAATTTTAATCTACTGAATAGTGCCATTTGTGTATTGATTATGTACATCACTTTCATCAGTAAATATTGGAAAACCCTAGAAGATATCAAATTGAATCTAAGAAATATATAAATGTAAAAATATATGTAATTTATATGTCTTTTTGTGGAGCTGTCTGTGTTACATCAGTGAATCACATCCTAAAAAAGATTCTGTGTTCACCTGATTAAAAATAATACTCCCTGTTACACCGTAGACACGGTATTTTAAGAGGGGTATAATTAGTAGATAATTAAAAATATATTAGTGAAAATAATTATCCTATAATATAAATAATTATAAATTAAGATTAAGATAACTAATTAGTTTAATTAAAATTAAAAAAAAATTTAAAATTTAAAATGAGATTAAAGTGTGTAATCATTTTCCAAAAAAAAATAGTGACATGGTATGTGAGACGGATAGAAACAGCAACGTGGACATAGTATCTGGAACAGATGGAGTAATATTAATAATAATAATAATAATAATAATAATTTGTTTCATTTTTAATACAGTTTTTTTTATATATAATTTTTTTTTATCCGTCCATAAATTTATTCATTTTAAACATATTTAACAATATATATGAACTCACTCAAAAGCTCTTTTATTTATATATTTTAATAAACGAATATTTTAATCTATATTTAAAATTTCTCATTTTTTATAAAATTTGTTTTAAATTAATTATAAATAAATAGATATATTTTTTTATTTATATTTATATAAAATTTTATTATTTACAAATAATATTATATTGTATATATTTATTGAGATATAATACTAAAAATATTTAAAATATCAGTAACACTACTCATAAAATATAATATTATAATTTATTTTAATAAATTACTAATCTACATTATTTAAAATATCGTATCTCTAACCAGTCATCTGACCCGGACAAAGAGAGTACAGTATATAAATATATTCACATAATATATAATATATTCTATGGATTCATAAAAACTAATAATATAAATATTATTTTACATATTATCAATATATTTTTTGTACTATGATATAAAAATTTTAAAATTTAAACTACTAAACAAACACACCTTATATATATACAATAGCAGAACTGGCATCCGACCAAAAATAATAAAAAACAAAATAGCAGAATTAGCGTCTAAATATTAGAAGGGCAAAATGTCTATAATTTACTTTAATATTTAATTAATAAAATTATATAAAAACTAATGATAAAATTATAAAGGTAAACTGTTTTTTTAATCATGTAATTGGACCCTCTTATTATTTTAGTCTCATAAGTTGAGCATGTCGCAAACTAGTCCTATAAGTGAAGAATTTTTGCTGTTTTAGTCCTCCGGCGCCGGAGACGCCCGCGTGGCTCGCCGGAGGTGACGTGTCCGCCACACGTGGATTTTTAATTTTTTTTTTAAACTTATTTTTAATTTTATTTTTTAAACTTATTTTTAATTTTATTTGTATTTTTTTATTTTTTTCATTTGGTCTAATTAAAAAAAATTTAAAAAATTAAAAAAAATGAAAATAAATAAATAAATCCACGTGTCCGCCAGGTGTCGCTGACCTGGCAGGTCATATGGCGGATACGTCACCTCCGGCGAGCCACGCGGGCGTCTCCGGCGCCGGAGGACTAAAACAGCGAATATTTTTCACTTATGGGACTAGTTTGCGACAGGCTCCACTTACGAGACTAAAATGATA